CTATTTGTTAATTCAGTCCAGTTTAATAAACATTTATTAGCATACACTGTGTACAAGGAAAGCACTATGCTAGTCTATGAGGACTGGCAGATAGATATCTCCTGAGGAGCTTAGCATCTAATGATGGGGGTGAGGGAAAATATCTGTATATGAGTAGCCTTCATCCATGGAAGAGTATATGTTGTTGCTTAGTAGTTTTCAGTCGTGTCTTGACTCTTTGTGATCTTACTTGGGGTATTCTTGGCAAAAGTACTGGAGTGATTTGCCATTTTCTTCTCCAGCTTGTTTTATAGATGAAGAAACTGAGACAAACAGGGTTAAGTGGACTTACCCAGGGTCATACAGCTAGTAAGTGTCTAAGGCTGCATTTGAACTCAGGTCTCTCTGCCTCCAGGCCCTCCACTGTAACCACTGTACCACCTAACCACCCGTGGAAGAGTATACTAAATGACAAAGAGAAAGACAGGCGAAGGACTTTGAGAAATTTGAGGTGGAAGAAATCCCTTTCTCTGGGGGAAGATAGACGCAAGGGAAGTGGATGTCAAGGAAAGCTTCATGGAAGCTGTTAAAAAATTCTTTATTGTATGCATTATATGATCCATTTTGAACCCTCACCAGAACAGCAGAATATAGCGCCAAAATCTGCCTTTCTATAATGCACATCCATTGATCCAAATTAAATTAGCAATCTTTGGAACAGAGATTTTCAACCTGAGGTCCTTGAATTTAAAAAAATTGGTAACTATTTCAATATAATTGGTTTGCTTTGTAATCCTATATATTGTACTTTACTAAATACACTATCCTGAGAAGGGTTCACAGGTTCCACCACACTGACACAAAATACATGACACAAAAAAAATGTTATGATGCCCTATTCTAGAAGTTAATCAGTGGAATATACATCACATACAGAAACAAACAAGTCTGACAACCCTGTTGTTTGATAAGGCTCACAACACAAGCTACTGGGATAAAAACTCAGTACTCAGCAAAAACTAATGAGTACATGACTTAGATATAAAGAGTGACATCATAAACAAATTCGAAGAACAAGAAAGAAATTACCTGTCAGATCTATGGATAGGGGGAGGGTTCATACCAAACAGGGGATAGAGAGGATTACAGAAGATAAATGGACAATTTTGAATGTAATAATAAAAAGTTTTTGTACAGACAAGGAAACAGGTAGCTGGGGTGGGGGGAGGGGGAATCTGCAGGAAGTTTCTTTGATAAGAATAACATTTCCACAATACATAAGGAACTGACTAGAATCTATAAGCATAAGACCTGTTGCCCAATTGAGAAGTAGTCAAAGGATATAAATAGGTGGTTTTCAAAGGAAAAAATCCAAGCAATTTTCAAAGAAGGAAATCCAAGCTATCAATAATCACAAGAAAAGAAATGCTTCAAATTACTAACAATTAGAGAATGCAAATTGAAACAACTCTGAGGTTTCACCTCATACCCATAAGATTGCCAAAATATATAAAAAAAGGAAATAACAAATGCTGAAGGGGCTGTGGGAAAATAAACACATTAAGGCCCTCTTGGTGGAGCTCTGCCCTCCTATAGCCATTCTGGGAAGCAATATGGAACTCTGCCCCAAAAGTCATCAAATGTTGTATACCCTTTCGCTCAGCGATACCACTACCAAGTATAAACCCGGAAGAGTTCAAAGAAAGAGGGAAAGGACCTATATGTACAGGTTCCCCTGAACTAGATTAAGTCTCATAATCCTTCTCCCAAATGACAACTCTCCAGATTTTTGAAGGTTCAGGTGCCTCCTCCTAAAGGGCATCTGGGTTGCTCTTGTTGGCAGTGTGCCACATGGAGCAGATGGAGGCTTGACTTAGAATCCTAGGGGCATAGGATCATGGCATCATAGATTTCTGTTTGGAAGGGGCCTTAGAAGTGATCTAATCCAACCTTCTCAATTTACAGATGAAGAAACTGAGGCCCTTGCCAGGTAAAATAAATTGTCTACGATCACACAGAGGTAGAATTGAATTATAAGGAAGTTGTTTAGTTGTGTCTTAACTCTGCATGACCCCATGGAAAAATCCATGAGGTTTACTTGGCAAAGATACTGGAGTGGTTTGCCATTTCCTTTTCCAGTGTGTCTCCATTTTACAGATGGGGAATTGAGGTAAATAGGGGTTAAGTGATTTGCCCAGGGTCACACAGCTAGTATGTGTCTGAGGCTGGATTTAAACTCAGATCTTCCTGTCTCCAAGCCTGGTGCTCTATTCACTGCACCACCTAGCTGCCCCTGATCAGGGAGACCCAGAAGATGCAGGTTTAAATCCTGCCTCAGACACTGACTACTTCTTTGTGTGACCACAAAGAAGTCAGCCTCTTTGCGACTATTTACTCTTCTGTACAATAGAGATAAGATTGCCTTTGGTACCTATCTCACCCAGGTGTTGTGATGCTCAAACATATATGGATATGTATGTGTATGTTGTCAACAGGCAATCACAGCTTCATGAAACTTACTTGAAAACTAGGTTTATTAAAAGAGAAATAAACATGTCTGTGGAACCCAAAGGGTTCACAATCCATAGAGAAATTTGCACTTTTATAACAGCAGGACAAAAGGAAGAGGTACCAGAATCTCCACCAAATGGGCGTGGCATGGGAGAGGGAAAGGCGCAGTAAAGGTAGCAAAAGGATAAAACCCCTGCCAGAGGAGAGGAGCAAGGGGATGGCAAAAGCAGCATTCTTTTCGTTCGGGAACTGCTGGACCATGAAGATAGGATGGTCTGCTTGTCCACAAGGATCCCAGCTGCACAAACAATTTCTTCACCTAGTGCAGACTGACAGGTGCCTGTCGACTCCCACGGTCACGCAGGGAACACATTGTGTCAGCTCAGGAGGGTCTTTGTCCTCGACACATTCAGGACCTCCTTCCTGCTCTGGGTCCAGTGTTTCTGGAAAATATGGCAACTCAAAAAGACAAGTTCAGGGGACCCCTTAACATTCCTTAACAATGTATATGTATGTATCCATGCATGTGCATATGTGTATGTGTATGTGCATGTGTATATGTATGGATGCACGTGCATATGTGTATATATGTGTGTATGTGTATATATGCACATAAAATAATATTCCATATATAAGGATAATACATTGGGTATATATGTGTATATATACATGTGTATATATGTGTGTGTGTACATGTGTATATATGTATATATGTACATATACATCTGTCTATATACATATATTACTTTGTAAACTTTGATGTACTACATGTCAATAATTAAATAGGAGACAAAAAAGAAATGTCAGTCATTCAACATTAGAATATGAGCTCCTAGGGCAGCTAGGTGGCACAGTGGATAGAGCCCTGGAGTCAGGAGGACCTGAGTTCAAATTCGACCTCAGATACTTGATGTTTACTAGCTGTGTGAAGCTGGGTAAGACACTTAACCCCACTGCCTAGCCAAAAAAACCAAGAATAGGAGCTTCTTCTTTTTGTATCCTTAGTACTTAGCACAGGGCTTTGCATATAGTAAATGCTTAATAAGTATTGCATTCATTCAACAAGTATTTATTAAGTGCCTCCTCTTTGCCACACACTAGTATCAGTTCCCTAAAGTTATCTGTTTCAAAGAACCTTTGGGGTTTTTTCCCTCTCTTTCTTAGAGATCAGGATAATTGACACCCCCTACAGAAAGCATTGTCTAGTAATTGAAGTGGGACAGCTCTGGAGAATCTCTCATTCTCTTTTGAGTCCAAGGAATCCTCCTTGGGGAACATCTCCTCTGCTTTTACAAAATGGTCTGATTTGCCTCCATAATGTCAGTAAGCATTTATTAAGTGCCTACTGTGTGCTAAGATCTGGAGATAGAAGGAAAGGCAAAAGACAGTCTCTGCCCTCAAGGAGCTCACAATCTAGTATGATCAGTCAGTGTTCTGGTTTGGAGGTCATACTCTGCTTCTAAATGCATTTGCTTCCCCAGTCCAGTCTGCTAGCTCTTCCCAGTGCTTTCCATGGAGATGGAATGTCCATTTCCATGCAGCCTGTAGACTTTTCCATAAATAATCCTTTGTCTGAAATGCACTCCTTCCTTCTCTTCGCCTAGTAGAAGCCCCAGCTGGATGGTGCAGTGGATTAAGTGCTAGACCTGAAGTTAAGTACAACTGAATTCAAATTTGTCCTCAAACACTGACTAGCTCTGTGACCTTAAGAAAGTCATTTAACTTCTGACTGCCTCAGTTTCCTCATCTATAAAATGGAGAGGATAATAATACCTACCTCCCAGGGCTGTTGTGAGGATAAAATGAGATCTGTTTTTAAAGTACTTTGCAAACCTTAAATCACTATAAAATGCCTACTGTTACTAAAGCACAGCTGAGATGCCACCTCCTGGGTGAGGTCTTTACAGCTCTTGGGCACAATAATCCAATTGCTAGGACTCTCCCTCTCTTCAGATTGCTTTGTATTTGTGGGTGTTGTCCTCCAGGAGTCTCCTTGAAGTAGAAAAAGTCCTTTGAGGGCAGGGCCTGTTTCATTTGTCTTTGTAGAGCCAAATGCTTATCATAATGCCAGGCACATAGTAGCTGTTTGACAAATGTTTGTAGAATTGAACTGAACTGATTATCTTATGCTCACCATAAAACTTTCTGTACCTGTTTCTGCCACCCTTCTCTTCCCTTCCCTTGCACCCACTACTGCTCTGATTGATTCCACCTGTCTTTTGAACCCTTCAGGTACTGATTCCAAGAGTCTTCTGTAAGTCAAATGGGCAGGTGCTAATGGAACAGCCAACAGCTGGCAAATGCCCTGTGGATAGTGGCCCAACTGGTCAGCATAGAATCCCTGAGCACTTCAGCATACCCTCTTGTCACTACAATGTGAACAGTCTCCATCTCCCAGAAGTGCTTGGCAGCTGCAACCTTTGATAGAATTCCTTGGCCTGTAAAACAGCAGATTGATAATCAAGACTCTCACTGAGCCCCTTGCAAGTGACTGCACCCAGAGCAACAACATGGGCAAGAAAATTGTGTTCCGCTGGGACTTTGGAGGATTGGCTTCTGCTGGAGCCACTTGTGTGACCCATCCTCTGGATCTGATCAAGGTGGGTGCCGGCATCTCCATTCCCAAGAGTCAGTGAAAGTGATGTCTTCTAGAGTTCCTAAAGCAATCATTGGGGTAGGGTGTAGTATATAAAATTCCTTGAAGTCAGGAAGACTGTGGTTCAAAGCCCTGCCTCTGGCACCTACTAGATGTGTGATGTCAAGCAAGTCTTTGAACCTTTCAGTGCCCCAGGCAACACTAAGACTTTTTAAGTTTCAGTTAAGCCATGGATCCACATTGGTGGAGAAAGAGCTTCTAATGACAACAAATTCACAGGTCCAGAAAGGGGGAAAAATGAGCAATGTATTATGTCTCTGGGAGAGAAGCAAGGGATAGATAGGATGTGCAGTAAAAGAATTTACAGTCTTGTAGTAGATGAGATATATTTAAAAGAGTTGCAATTTGGTCATGTTGGTACTTCCTCCACAGACACAAATCTCTGTAACTTAGTCTATGCCTTGTGCTTCAAGGATCTGTAATTTTGTTGTCCATGTGTGTTCAGTCATTTTTAGTGGTGTCTGACTTTTTGTGACCCCATTTTGGGGTTTTCTTGGCAAAGATATTGGAGTGGTTTGCCATTTCCTTCTCTAGCTCATTTTACAGAAGAGGAAACTGAGGCCAACAGGGTTAAGTGACTTGCCCAGGCTCACCCAGCTAGTAAGTGTCTGAGGCTGGATTTGAATTCAGGAAGATGAGTCTCCCTGACTCCAGCTCCAGCATTCTATCCACTGTGCCACCTAGCTGCCCTGTTATTTTGTTATGGGTAGGTATGCCATCTACTAATTTAGATCACAATCCATTTATAATAGTTGCTATTGCCAAAAATCCCATCACCCTGCTCCAACCTGGTGATGACCCTCTATGAAATTAATTAGGCTGTTCCTCAGACAACAGACACACAGTCCACCACTAGGTTCATTCTGTTGTTATTTAGATGTTTTTTCAATGAACAAAACTTATTTTCTCTCTGCTACCCTCCTCCAATTAAAGAAAAAAATAAAAAACAAAACTGTTGTAATATGTATAGTTAAGCAAAACAAATTCTCACATTGGTCATGTCCAAAAAGTATATATCTCAGTCTGTACCCTGAATCTGTCACCATTCTGTCAGGAAGTAAGTAGCATGTTTCATCACTGACCCTCAGAGACTATGGCTGCTGGTTGTGTTGATCAGTGTTCTTAAGTCTTTCAAAACTATTTTTCTTTACATTATTATTATTGTCTAAATTGTTCCCTCAATTTTTCTCACTTTACAAGAGCCTTCCCAAGTTTCTCTGAACCCTTCCCTTTTATCATTTCTTAGTACATGGTAGTATCCCCATTCCTGTACCATAATTTGTTCAGCTATTCAACAGTTGAGGCATATCCCCTTAGTTTCCAAGATCTTTGCCACCACAAAAAGAAAATGAATCGACCTTGTCATCAATGATTATTCTAGAGCAGAGATTCGTAACTTTTTTTTTCATAATGGATCCCTTTGACTGAGTCTGGTGAAGCCTATGGACTCTTTAGAATAATGTTGCTAAATGCATACAATTTTTATGATTACCAAGGAAACCAATTATTTTGAAGCACAGTTATCAAAATATGAAAAATTACAAATTCATAGATTCCAGATTAAGAACCTTCTTTTTAGAATGAGAAAGCCAGGGGTGTAATTGCCAGGACTCACACTCAGGTCTTGCTTCCAGTCCTATGCTTTAGTAAACTCTACCCCACTACCTAGAGGACCACAGTCCCTGGAGTTTGCCCTTTTCTCCTGCTGAGTGCACACAAGAAGCTGGCTGGAGTTTTAAAAGGCCAGAGTGGGGAACCTGTGGCGTCATGTGGCCACATGTGGCCTTCCAGGTCCTTGAGTGTAGCCTTTTGACTGAGTTCAAGTTTTAGAGAACAAATCCTTTTATTAAGGGGAGTGAAATTTGGATTCAGTCAATAGGTCACACTTAAGGGCCACATGTGTCCTCAAGGCTGCAGGTTCCCCACCCCTGACTAAGGAAAACTAAGGGGTAAGAAACTGAAAAATTTCTAGTGGAAGGTTCCTGGCTATGTTCTCCTAGCAAGCAAGATATCCCCATGTCTCTGACCAAGGTTCCTTAACAGGCTAAGCTTCCTGCTTTTGATTAAATGTGGATGGAATCCATTCCTAAGTCCTGTTTTCTTTCCTGGGACCATCCTGTCCTGTTTCTCTAGATCCTCCTTAAAAAATAAATAAATGTTTTATTTGATTTAAGGTAGATACTGCCCCAGATGAGAACCTGGCCTTGGATTCAAGAAGGTCTGCCTCTGACACGTAACTGCTGTGTGACCCTGAGCAAAAAACTAACTTCTCATTGATGCCAGAAAATTCTCTAAAACTAGATGTGGCGGACCAGATGCAAAAAACCAGACCTAAAAACCTGAAAAACCTGAACATCAATGCAGCAACTGAAATGTACTCAGTAACTATTTACTAAGTTAATTAATTTCAGTGCACCAACTATCACCGTTTTTCAGTCACTGCCCAAAGTCCCTGTTTTTCTAGATGTCCTCATTCCCTTTTCCTTTCAGATGGTCATGGCCCTATAGACTTGCATTGAGTACAAGATTTCAAGTTAGGAAGACTTGCATTTACAATTCCATCTCTGAAATTCACCAGCCTTGTGAACCTGGGCAAGTTACTGGAGCTCAGTTTCCTCATCTGTAAAATGAGTGGGTGGGTTGGATTGTCAGTTCATGTTCCCCATTGAAATCCTTCTCCTCTTGTTCTAAAAATAGACTCCCTTCTACTAGATTTCCACATTCCTTCTCTGGGGAGCTGACTGCCGCTTTTCCTCTGCCTTGGAATTTACACATAGGGATACCTGAATCTTTTTACTTTTTGTTCACCAACACTCCACCTGCTTCCCTCAGTGTCAAGGGATGACCTCGTCAGCTCAGGTGTTCCCCAAAGAGGAACTTCCCAAAGTCAGCCTACTACATTTTTACAAAATGATATCTTTAGTCAGACCCTGAGACATAAATTGAGACCTTCCCCCCAAACACACAAAATAAAAGAAGTGTGACTTCCCACGGGATATTACAGCTGTATCTCTAAGCAAGAGAGTGAGCAATAAGGTCCAGTTAGTTAAGAAGGAGAACCTAGGTCTGTGATCCTATGAGTTCTTGTAGTTCTAAATTTATGATTCAGTACATGCAAGATATTTAACATTGTATTGCATGCTTGGGACATAGACAATCCTTGCTCGCAGTCAGCTTACAGTTTGAATAAGGCCTCTGTTGCCCCTACTACTTAATGCAAGGAGTTATGCTCACCTAAAGATGCTGCTGCAAATGAGCCACCTTTAGTGGGCTGTGGATTGTGAGTGGGTCTGCCAATATATTTAGTGCATTACTGCTTAAGTAAGCGGTAAGACATCTCTATCAGGAGATGCACATTCTCCTACCTGACCCAGTTGGTTGCTGTCCAAATCTACAGTATGCAAGCCTGTTGTGGGTTTTTTTTCAGTCGGAGTACTTCCTCTACCATCCCAGGTTGCAGTTCTGCTACAGGTTGGGGGGCAGTCTTCCAGAGTTCCTCTGGACAGTTTGCCCATACCCACCCCCCGATCCCAGCCAACCTGGTGATGTGCCTCTCTGAACTTAGCTAGGTTGGTCCTCAGATCAAAGGCATACGGCCCCTTTTCTGGGTCTGTCCTTGAAGGATTTCCAATGTGGATGAAATCCATTTCGTCTCGTGCTCTGTTGGTGCAAGATTTGGGAACCCTGGCTCCTCTCTGTGTTGTCAGTTACCCCACAATGCAGCAGCTCATTGTGTCATCCCACCTCCATGTTCATCCTCACTTGTCTCTCTGGTGTAGGTCCATCTTCAGACTCAGCACAGAGCAAATATTGGCTTTGCTGGCATGACAGTGAGGGTGATTAGCGTCAGTGGCTTTATGGCACTTTACAATGGGCTCTCTGCCTCACTCTGTAGACAGGTAGGTGACAGATGGGGACCCCTACTATCTTGTCTCTGATCTAACCCATCCTGGGTCCAGAAAGTGATCAACCTAGCTGACATTGTGACTGTTAGTGTCACAGTTATGGCTAACTCCAGGATGACATCTTTAGACTTGGCTGTCATCCTCAACTCCTCATTGTATCCCCAGCACCTCATAGCACATAGTAGGTATCTAACAAATGTTTGTTGATTGACTGACATCTCCAAACATTCTTTTCCCGCCCAGTAAAATATAACCTCGTTGAAGGTTCCTTTTTGTCTTTGACTTAATCAAGGCCTGGCACATAATAAATTTAACAAATGCTGTAATTTTGAGGGTTGTTTTTGTTTTTTGTTCTTTTAAATCTTGCCTGTTCACCCCAGGGTAATGAGATGTAGGGATTTCTACTTAGGATTTCTCCTGGCTTTCTGAGACATCCTTGTCTTTGAAACTTGCTGTGTCTTTATCAGCTGACCTATTCTGTGACTCGCTTTGCCATCTATCACTCACTTCGGGACCATGTGATACACGGCCAGAAGCAGCACCTGCCCTTCTATCAGAAGGTGTATATGGCAGCCCTTGGAGGTGAGTAAAGAGGAGCTGAACTTGGGGATGATAGAGAGGAGCCAGCCTTGCCCAAGAGCCAAAGGATTGTTGAGGGCTGTTGTTCATTTCCCCTGAGAAGGCTATTGGAAATAAGAAACCGTGGGAGCTGAGTGGACTTGCATGGAGTATGAAGCAGGCTTGTAAATCCTTTGCCCTTTTCCCTCTGGTTTTAGGTTTTGTTGGCGGGTTTGTGGGGACCCCAGCAGATATGGTGAATGTTAGGTCAGTCACATCCCCTGTTACCTTCCCTCTCTTTTCTCTTGTTCCTTTACCTGGGTAGTTCTCCCCTCTATCATTTTCTCCTTGACATCTCTATTCCTCTGAACCTTCTCACATCCCTGTGTCCTACAAGGGTGGTTGACCCTTCTAATTGGATCTCATTTGGAAGCAGGATGCAGAATGATGTGAAGATGCCAGTGCACCTGAGGAGGAAGTAAGTTGCAAAGGAGAGGGACTGAGTTCATAATTCCTAGAAGCTCTGAACTGGAAGGGGCCTTAGAGATCACCTCATCCAAACTGAAGCCCAAAGAAAACTCAAGAGCTATTCGTTAGTGTTTTGGGGAGTAGAGATGGCGCTAACAGACTCACGTTCTAGTCTTCTTGAACATACTATGGCAGGATTATATTTCCTTGCTATCTTCTCCTAGCTGTCATTAAAGCCCCAGGGACATTGAGCCCTGCCCCCAGGCCACTGTGGCAAAGTGCCCAGCAGAATGCATAAACCAGAGAATGAAACTTGCTGGTCGATGTGAGGAAAGAAATCTCACCTGGTGGGAATGAAAGCCTGAAAAATAGGAATCTGAAGAAAGCTGCAAATGAATGTGCTGATCCATACCCAGTGAACCATGCAAAAAAGTCCCACAATTTTGCTGAAATAAATAGCAGTAGGTCTTGCTGTTACCAGATGGCAGCTATTCCACAAGAAATGTGCTGCCTTTGACTAGCAATGTAAAAAGGAATAATTTGGACTTAATAAGGAAATAGAAATAGCCTGGATAACTGAAATCCACAGATGATCCCTGAATTCTACTTTAGTCTTCCCTGTAATATCCAAGACACTGATTGCAAAAAGGGACAAGCCAAGAATTGAAAACCTACAAATTAAATAACCAGTCCTTGAGACATAACTAACTATATATGTGTGAGAGTGTGTGTGTGTGTGTGTGTGTGGATGAGTGTGTGTGTGTGTGTGTATAAATAAAAACATTTTCTATCCTATAGTTATTCCCATGTGCTGAACGGGATGACTCGTATAATTCGAGAAGGTAGGCTTTCCTAAAGGGGAAGAAAAATAGAAATTTGTTTATTGTTGCTGTTACTGTTTTTTGAATCATGTTTATTAGAACAAAGTGAGTTCTAGGTACCTACCAAAATAAAGCTTCTGAAATAAGGAGTACATAGTTTGGGATTTTCCTATGATCTAACAAGCAGTACCCCTCTTATGTTCAGGATGAGAGGCAACCTGGAGTGGACTGAGGTCTGGCTCTGAAATCAAGATGATCTGGGCTCAAGTCATGCCTCTCACATATACCAGCTATATGACTTTGGACACATCACCCCAAGGAATTCTATAAGACTCTGAATTATGACCAGGCGGGGGGGGGCGTAGGGGGGTCAGGGGGAAGAGGGGGCTGTTGTTCTGCATTTTCATTTACACCAATGTAATTAAAGGTCTAGACCCCAAAAGTAAAAGATGCAAGTAACCATTCTAAGAGATACAAAGATGAAATAGTCCCTGCTTTCAAGGGGGTCTACATTCTATTGAGGGGCTGCAATATGTAAACATATAAGTATATACATAAAAATTTGAGGAGGGAAAGAGGACAAATGATGAAGGGGGTGGCCTATGGACCATGGCTTTTTTTTTTTTTTTTTACATATGACTTTTATTTACCTTTCTGTGTGTATACTCATTCCCTTAATGGGGAATGTAAGGTCTTGGAGGATAGGGAGGACAGGGACAGTTCATATTTGTACCCTCAGTGCCCAATACCTAGTAGGAGCTTAATAAATGGTTACTGAATGGTTACTGAAATTGAATCGAATTGAACGAAGCTCAGGATTCTCTATGAGGGAGTGCTAGAAATCCACAGGTCGCTTTTTATCTTTGTATACTGGCACCTACCTTGGGATCCTTACACATTGCATGCACTATTTAATGAGGTTTGTTGAATTAAACATGGAGATGAATTAACTCTGGAGGCTCTCAGGGTAATTGACCATATTGGGACTGGGCCTATAGACCCTTGGTCCAAACTTGCTCAATTTCATTCTATCTGCTTCCCTACCCCTCTTCTTTCCTCCAGAGGGGTTTTCGACATTATTCTCTGGTGCTACCCTGGCATCAGGGCGAGGGGCTTTGATGACAGTGGGACAGGTAGGACATGTTCCCTCCCACAGATCTTCACGTATCTGTTTTAACTCCATCTGTTGGGTGTGAGAGTGTCATAGAAGGAGGCCAGAAATGAAGTTATCACAGAATCTCAGGCTGTTTCAATGTAAGTTCACCTTTAAAACTGTAAAAATACTATTGAATCCTATTTACATACTATATAGTCACAGGTCTGAAAGAAAGTGTTCAGAACTGCTGCTTCAGGGAAAAAGGTTTGGTGAGATATATAATAATTAATTTACATTTATGGAGTGCTTTAAGATTGATAAAGGGCTTTCCTCACAACAACCCCACAAGAGAGGAAATACAGGTATTATCTCTATTTTACAGAGGAAGAAACTGAGTCTCAGGGAGGTCAAGCAGTTTGTCCATAACCACACAGCCAGTAAGTGTCAGGGCTAGGATTCAAACCTGACTGTCCTGGCTGCAAGGCCAGACTTCTCTGCCCATGATGCCATAGTATATAGTTATTGCTGGGTGCATACTAAGCTTCTGTGCAAAGTTCCTGCTGGACAGAGGTGATAAGAGAGGAACAGGCATAAAATGCTGCTATGGTTGAGGTTTGAAGGTGCTGACATGGTTCCTCTTGATTTCAATCTCCTCCTGCAGGCATCCTGCTATGACCAAATCAAGCAACTGGTGCTCACCTCGACTTCCTTCTCAGACAGCCTCAGCATCCACATTATAGCCAGTTTCATTGCTGTAAACTCCAAGTGATATTCATGAAGCTATATGACCTTGTATGTGTAGTGGAATGCACATGTGGCATATGCTGTCTCGGAATACAAACTTCTAGAGCGTTTAGTATGTTATGGGGAAATCTCCCCAAAATATTAATGTAGTCCCATTGGTACCTCATCTCTCATTGAGACCCACAGAAAAGTTATCCCCATTTCAAGATACTCTTTGGGTCAACACTCATGCAAAACCATAGTCCGAATCCCCCACCAATGATATTTTTATCCTATCATTGACATGATAGCTATCTCATCCTTAAATCATAGACTTAGCTATGCAAATTTGGATTGTCTGATGCGCACTGAACTCCTATTAGGACTTCTAGTTATGAGTAAGCCTTTGCTCCTTATCACTTAAGGTTTCTCACAAAGTCAAAATTTCTTTATTCTTTCCTTGTGCATGATGTGTTATCAATTTCCTTTGTAATTTTAGTTCCCATAATGAACAGCACCAAGTCCAATCAGATGTTTTGTCACTTGATGTGTATACAGTCATTTTTTGTGTTGAATACAACTGCATTATTGGGTGGCCACCAGCCTATTCACCCTTCCAGATGCCCACTCCCATATGCCTTGAATAAAGGAAATAAGGTGAGGATGCAGAGCTATTAGGAGGAAGAGATCAAATCAGCAATACCACCTCTCCCCGCAAAAAACAAAAACACAAACACAACCACATCTTTCTTGATGCTGTGGTTGGGAAGGGGACACAAATTTTTGAGAATAGAACCTGCTTCTGGACAGCAGCAGCTTCTCCTGGGGCTTTTACTGATGAATCTGAAAGTCAACAACTTGGTAGGCTCTGGTGAATGACCATGATGCTATGGTTTCTGAAATAGGAGGTGATGGACAGTGTGATAAGTCATATCCATCCACTGGGTGATCAGTTGGTTCTCAGGCACCTTGCTGGTACCTTCTGTTTGCCAAAGCATTGGGAGATTTAAATGAGAAAAATGCCTAGAATATTCTAAGAAGAAATTACCAATGGACAATGGCAGGGGAGCTCTTTTACCCCCTATAATCTCGAAGTTCTCCTTCTCCCTAGGGTCTGTATGCCACCTTGCTATGTCAGCCCTTGGATGTGCTCAAGACTCGAATGATGAATGCCCAGGATTATGATGTGAGTTCATAGAGCTATTTCATTTCTCTTAAAGACCCTTCCTCCCAAATGTCGTTACTATCACAAAACCAAAGAATTAGCATAGGCTATTTTTTAACTCTGGGGGTCACCTCAATTTTTTCAGCTTAGCCACTAGAAAACCTTTCTCTTCAAAAAAAGGTGCTAACTTGCCTGGCTTTGTCTGCAACACAGTCCATGAAGTTGAGGGGAAAGAGCTACACGGGGACTAAGGTACAACTAGACTGTTGAATATGTCATCTTTGGGAAATTGTGTTTGTTGTCTCTTCCAGAGTATCATTCATTGTGTATCAGAGACAGCCAAATTGGGACCTCTGGCATTTTACAAGGTACCTATTCTTTTAAGAAGCTTAAGGACTTGTCATTGGTAGGGTTTTAGGGAAAGGGGCCCTACCTTGCAGAAGATTCAGAGAAGAGTTGATGAATCATTTTTTAAAAAAAGTTTGACAGAGAAATTTTAAGGATCTACAAGTTTCATACAAACTCTCAAAAACTTGTAACTTTTTTTTAGTAACCACCCAATCCATACTTATCAGTGATGGCCACACCATTTTTATAATAGCCCCAAGTAGACTTTAGAGAGGGCAGAGATGATTTCGTTTTTGTCTTTATGTTCCCAGTGCTTAGCACAATGATGCGTGCGCACACGTGGTAAGTACTTAATAAATGCTTATTGAATCAAAGTGTGTCACTGAGTAGAATTTAAATTAATGAGTAGAATTTAGATGATGTAAAAATAAAAGCCATCAGTAAAAATTTATTTTAAAAATGAATTAACAAATAGCCACTTATCTTTAGTGCCAGGAACAATCATACCCTTGCCCCCTACAAATTCAAACCTGTTTTTCAGTGGTCAGTAGTATCAATAGGCAATCAAAATGTCACGAGACTTAAGTGAAAACTGGGTTTATTACAAGAAAAATGAACACGCATGTGGAACCCAAAGGTCCCCCTAAAGTTTACATCTTTATAATAGCAGGACAAATACCAGGAAGGGGTGTGACATGGGAAGGGGAATGGTGTAGCAAAGGTGGGAAAAAAGACAAAACCACTCCCCATGGGAAGGAGCAAAAGTCTCATTCTTTTCCCTTGGGAACTGTTAGACTATGAAGATAGGAGGGTCTGCTTATCTGCAAAGGACCCCATCTGCACAAGCATTATCCCAGCCTGGCACGGACTGGCTGGTGCCTGTCTTGTCTCCCAAGGGTACACAGGGAGTCCAGCTTGGGGTGCAACAACAAATTATGTCAGCTCAGGGGGAGCTTTGTCCTTGACACATTCAGGCCCTCCTGCATGCCTAGGTCCAGTGTTTCTGGAAAATATGGCAACTCACAGACAAGTTCAGGGGACCCCTTAACAGCAGTCTTACACCCCTCAAATTACCTTGTACAAGGTGTCTCCAAAGTCTTAATGCAGTTTTAAATGGCTTAAGTAATTTTTAAAGCCATTTAAAACTGCACTAAGACTTTGGAGATACCCTTAATTTATTTGTTTTGAATATGTGTTGTATCCTGCCACCACCCTAGGCAAAATGAAAATTCCTGAAAGGCAGGGACTGTTTATGTTTTGGTCTTTACATCTCCAGCACCTAGCACAAGGCTTTGCACATTGTTGTTGTCACTCAGTTAGTTGGTTGCTTTTGTTTTTTTTTTTTCAGTCCTATCTGACTCTTCGTGACCCCATTTGGGGTTTTCTTGGCAAAGATACTGGAGTGGTTTGCCATTTCCTTCTCCAGCTCATTTTACAGATGAGGAAACTGAGGTAAACAGGGTTAAGTGACTTGTCCAGGGTCACACAGCTAGTAAGTGTCTGAGGCCAGATTTGAACTCAAGATGACTCTTCCTGACTTCAGGCCTGGCACTCTGCGCCATCTACTGCTACCCTTGGGAGTTGGGGACAGACCCATAATTTCATAGGTGTAGGGAACTCTCTGTGGAAACTCTGCTATCACTGCAGTTTAGTAACTCATCTCTAACTCACAGCCTTAGAGAGTCTCCCACAATCATACAACTATTCTGTATGAAAGGCAGGACTCAAACTCAGTGCCTCCTGGCTCCAAGGATAGCCTTTTATCCTCTATTCCACACTGCATCATGTTTTGGATAGGCAGAAATAAATAGCATTCCAGGGTAGCAACTAGGTGGCACAATGGATAGAGTGCTTACCTGGAGTCAGGAAGAACTGTGTTCAAATTAGGGTTCAGACACTCATTAGCTATGTGACTCATGAGTAAGTCACTTAACCTCTGTCTTCCTTAGTTTCCTCATCTTTAAAATGGGGGCAATAATAGCACCTAGTCCTATGGTTGTGATTAGGAACAAATGAAATAATATTTGTAAAGTGCTTTGCAAACCTTAAAGTATTATACAAATACTAGCTATAATAATAGTTGTTCTTCAGTCATTTTTCAGTCATGTCTGACTCTTTGTGACACTTTTTGGGGCCTTTTCCTGGGAAAGATATTGGAGTAGTTTGCCATTTCCTTCTCTAGCTCTTTTTACAGGTGAGAAAATTGGGGCAAATAGGGTTAAGTGACTTGCCCAGGATCACACAGCTAGTGATGGTCTGAGGCCAGATTTGAACTCAGGAAGAATTTTCCTGACTTCAGGCTTGGTACTCTATCCACTGTGCCACCTAGCTGCTCAATAATAATAATGATGATTATTATTATTATTATTCCAGGGGAAGTAGATAGCATGAGCAAAGTTGAAGAGGTGGGAATGCATAGAAAATATTCAGGGTGCAGTGAGCAGACCAACTTGACTGGAGTGGAAAATTTATTTAGAGAACTAGTAGAGAAAGAAGGATAAGATCAGAAAACTGGCTTAGTTAGGGCCAGTTTGTAGCAGGCTCTGAATGTAAGAGTAAAGAGACTGGAATTTATCATGCAGGCAATGGGAAGCCACTGAAAGATTTCATTGTGTGGAGTAACTTATTTGTAGAATAGGTAGACGAATCTGACAGAAGTATGTAGAATGGATTGGAGGAATTAGAATCGGACCATTTGGAAGATCAGGCAACAGATAATAGCAGACTAGATAGTGACAGAAACAGATGAATAGTAGGCAGCATGGCATAGTGGACAGAGTACCTGGAGTCAGGTCGACCAGGGTTAAAATTCTGCTTTAGACACATTAGCTGTAAGACTACGGTTAAATCACTTTATCTCAGTGAACCTTGGTTTCATCATCTGTGAAGGGGGGGATAATAGCTCCTATCTCACAAGTCAGTTTATCAAATAAGATAATGCTTGTAAAGTGTCTTTTGAACCTTAAAGAGCTATATTGGTGTCATCCATTATTATAAATTTAAAAACACTGGATTTGGGATTTAAGAAACTGGGTTTGAATCTTGTATTAGTAACTTACTACTTGTATGACTTTGAGCAAGTCACTTAGCCCCACTAGGCCTCAGCTTTTCCTCATTTATAAAATGAAGGGGTTGGTGTCATAGGTCTCTTCTGTGTCTTAATTCTTTGATCCTGTAAGGATTTGAAACATGGAAGGATTAACATGATCAGGTGACTGACTGGGAGTTGTAGAGATGTGAGGTAATGGTGACTCAGACTGAGTGAGTGACAGTATGATTAGCAGAAATACGAAGTCGGAAAGAGCAACTATTTTGGAGATGTTGAGTTTTACTTTAGATATCCTGAGTTTAAGGTGACAGCTGTCCAAATGGAAATATCTAGTGGACAACTGGAAATGTTGGACTGGGACTTGAGGGGTCAGGGATGGGAGATATAGGGAGTCACCAAATAAAAACGCTAGCTGAAGCTGTGAGAATGGATGTGTTCTCTAAAGAAGAGGGCTCCTCGGGAGAGGAGAGGCCAAGAGTTGGACATTAGGGAGGGTCCCCATGAGGAGCCAAGAAAGAACAAGGAAGGGAAAGAAACAGAGAAGGCAGAGAAGAACCAGCCGGGATTTTCATGGAGTTTGGTGATCAAGGGGGCAAATTTTCAAGAAAAGGGGAAGGTGTGATAAATTGATACAGAAAAGGACAAGGAGGAAAAAATTACTTATTTTGGCAGTTAGAAAGCCTGGTGACTTTCAAGAGTCAGTTTCAGTGGACAGGTAAGAGTAGAAACCAAACTGTAGGACTCCAAGGAATGAAGAGGTAACAAGGAAATGGGTATAGCGAATGTAGATGAATTTTTTGGGAAGGTTGGCTGTGAAAGGACTGTAGCTCAAGGGAGAAGTATATTTATTTAAAGGAAGGCTTTTTCCTAGGTAAGGAGCAAGTGGAGGGAGGGGATAACTGATGGAATAAGGTCTCGAAGGAGGAAGGAAGAGCTGACCAATTCTTTATTTGCCCCACTTAGTTTTTTGTTTGATTTTTTTTCCTTGTGTTTGCGGTGGGAGGGAGTTGGTACCTGACTAAGTCCCCAGCCCAGGATGTAATTACAGAAAATAAAAGGCATATAATAAGTTGTTAAACTAAGTGCAAAGACTTGTATAACTTTTATCCCTTTATGAGGTTTGAAAAAGGCCTGGTAAAATTAGAAAGGCAGCTGGCCATTGAGAAACAATTAAGCACGCTCGTGGGTGGCCCCTAAAAGGCCAGCCTAGCTTCTGAGAGCAGCACAAGCGTTTCAGTGGTGGCAGCAATTCAAGACAGCAGTTCTGTGGAGCGTGGTCCCTTCAGCCCTTGTCCGCTAGCGGAGGGCATTTCTTCTCCTTCCCTATCCCATCTGTCATGGCATTTTGTAATAGAGCTTCTGACCCATTAGGAGACACCACACTAGCAGGGAACACTCTGTGACGAACACAGATGTAGCGAGCAGCATTTAAGGCAGAAAGCAGCTTCAGTGATTGCCTTGGCTGTTGAGATTCAAACTAGAGAGAGAGGAGCAAAGCTGGGGAGCCCATGGGGAAAGAAAGCATGGTGGGTACTGCAGTACCATAGGCATTAATTTCCCTGGTCATATGTGTTCTTCATGTGTATGTCTCACTACCAATTGTACTCAAAGTTTATGCTCATTTTCCCCACTGCAAAGCATGTATTAGTGGGAGAATGTGCCTCAGATTTAGGAGGAGGGGTAATAGTTTTTTAGCTTCTGTTCTTGCTATGCCATCTTAGTAATAAATGCCTTTGCTTTAAACCATGCCTGCACAACCTTTGGCCTCCAGGTTGCTTGAGGCATGCCAAAGGATTTCAGGTGTCCTTCAGAAATGTAGAGGAAAACGTCCTTTGTATGTAGAGGCAATCCTTTGGCATGCCACAAACAACCCAGGCTGTAATTGGCCCACGGGCCTCAGGTTGTGAAGGCCTGCTTTGAACTAAATATATCTATGCAGAAGACTCTTCTGGCTGACTGTTAAAAATTAGCTCACCTATAAAGGCTCATTTTAGTACTATAGATACATATAGTATCTTGAAACCTATGAAAATCACCACCCTTTGGATCACTCAACTTGCAGGTCTGAGTTGGGGAGTTAGCCCAGAGGTATACTTGCAACAAGCAAGTTAGAAGCAGGCTAGTTTAGTGGATAGTTTAGTTCAAATCCTTATCTCTGGCACATAGTAGCTGTGACCCTCAGCCCCTCAACCTTTATGTGCCTCAGGCAATCCACTTCCATATAGTTTGTAATATGGTTCAGAGTTTCCTATATTGAATTCAATTCAACAGTTACTAAAGGTCTACAAGTAGCCTTGCACTAGGAGCTAGAAAGACAAGGCAAAAACCCTCCTTGCTGGAGCCATTTACTTTCTATTGGGAATTCTCAGACACTTACTGGCTGTGTGACTCTGGACAAGTCACTTAACCCCGTTTGCCTCATCTGTAAAACGAGCTGAAAAAAGAAATGGCGAAACACTCCATTATCTTTGCCAAGAAAACCCTGCCAAAAGGGGTCACAAGGATTTTGACACAACTGAAAAACACCTAAACAAAGCAAACAGGAATTCTAAGAGACAGGTGTGAAGATCAAGTAAATTCCAGGCATGAAAGATGACTTGTGCACAGAGGTGGGAGACTGATGAGCCAGCTAGTTTTAATGGGAGGAAGAGTGTTCACGGGGAGGGATATACAGTAAGACTAGAAAGGTAGTTGGAAACTATATTATGGAAGGCTTTTAGTGCCAGGCTGAGAATTTTGTATTTTATTTTAAGATTTAGATATCTCGTGTAATTCTATAGGTAGATCATAGTAGCCTCATTGCATTTGTGTTTTGTGTCATTGAAGAGTCTGGGTTCCTTAGATTAGTGTCAAGGATTTTTTCACATACCTGAACACCCACTCCTGCCTCTACTTCATCTTTTCCCCCCTCTCATTTCAGGGTATGTTCCCTGCTGCTATCCGCCTGATACCACGTACCATTTTAACCTTCGTCTTCTTGGAGCAACTTCGGTTAAACTTTGGAATCCCAATAAAAAGTGACTTGGGTCAAGACTGAGGTCCACCTAAGTGAGTGTGCCTAAGTTTGCCAGAGATTCCATCAAAAAGACCAAGACTGTTCCCCAGATACCTCTGACTTAGCCATTTCAGGGTGTAAAGAAGCTCATTGACCTGGCATGATTTCCTATGCCTTGGCTTGTACACTTCATCAGTATACAAGTACACTGTTATAGCCTCTTAGGGGAATTGGTGATGTCCGTTGATCCTTCTGCCTTTCTCTCCACCCTCACCTACTTACCTTAGTGCAGTGGTCTATTCAGGTGTGCCTTCTTTCTTTGTGGCCTTTATAGCCTTATCTCCTTGTAACCTGTGGAGGCTGTGATGTAGACCAGAGAATAATATCACATTCTGGTGTGAGAAGGTTGATTTCTGCAGTTCCAGAGCCAATGACAGAGATATGTTGGTTCTCAGGGATATGGTCTGCCCTGGGGATTTGTGGGGGGATGCTCTTAACTTGCCCTTCTTAATGCATTTTAGACAGTACCTTACTTCCCCCCAACCCCATCTTCAGCTTGGGTCTCTGCATCCCTCAGAGGCTGTGAAGATTGAATCTTGGCTGTCATTATTGGTCCCATCACAGCCACAGCATATCCAGACCTGCCTTGGACCTGGAGGCAAACTGTGTGTACATATTTGGGGTGATGGGTAGGAGCAAGGATTCATGGGGGGGGTGCAAAACTTCTAATTGTTTGCATTTTAAATGTTCATCTCTGATATTTTAATCATTTTCATTCTGTCAATTCAAACACTAAATATATTTTTCCCCAAGTCCTCATGTGTGTTTGTCATTATTAGACTGTGCCCTAAAGCAGGCCGGGCAACGGTAGCCTTTTCCAAGGCTGTGCTTTCTGCCTGCATGTCTCTGGGTCTTCCTCTTGGTGCACCAGTGGATTGGACTTCCGATATGATACTGTCCTGCCCAGGACAGGAGGCAAATGGACATAAAAATGAACCTAAGGTCACTATAGTTCCAGGGCCTTTGGGTCAGTGGTTTCTAGGAGATGTGTGGTGTGACCCTATTTGCCAGTAAGCTTATAAAAGTTAATTTAATCTAATAACATATACCTCTCATCAAAGAACTCACTAGAACTTAATGATCTCACTCCCTTTCCCTTTGAGGACAAGCTCATCCCAGCATCCATTATTTCATGGATTTGAATGTAATATATATATATAAGGAAATATATATATATTATATATATGGAAAACTAAGTGCAGGGAAGTTGAGATCTGCCCATAGTCACACAGTGAGACAGCAGTGCTAAGATTTGAAGTCAGAACCAGTGAAGCAGTGTGTCAGAGCAGAAAGAGTACTGAATTTGAAGTCAGAGAGCCATGTGTCAGATCTGACTGTCACTCAAACTTTAGCAAGTTAAAATGTGACCTTTAGCAAGTCATTTCACATCTTTTCACTCAGTAAAATGAGGGAGTTGGACTAAATTCATTCAATAAGCATTTATTAAGCACCTGCTATCCACCAGACATGGGGATAGACTCTGGGAATATGAAAACAAGATGATCTGTGATTCCATGAACTGATGCTCCCACTACAAGACAACACTAAGATATGCTAAGGGATATGAAGAAAGGCTAAAGGTAGCCCCTGCTCTCACAGAGCTTACAGTCTGATGGGCAAGACAATCTGTACACAATGATGCACAAACAAGATAGAGACAAGATAAACAGGGAGTGGTAAGGCATTAAGATTGATTGAGGAGGATTTAGGAGAGGCTTAGCTTATCAAAGTCTGTTTTCTCCTCTCTGACATGGGGATGATGCTAATATTTGCACAACTATTGTGAAGACCAAATGAAATGAGGTATATTTAGTCAGGTTACCCTCACCCCTCTGAGTCTCAGATACCTGTGCTAAGATCAGTCATCTGCTTTGCCTTTCCCTTTTTGGAGACCTTCAAAAAGCAACTCCTAGGCCTCTCTAAACCCCAAAACACTCAGTGAGATATACTAATTCAAATGGGATTATTCCCTCCTCCCCCAAAGGCTGGGGGAAGGAGGAGGTAAATGGAATGGTATCACCATGAGCTGATCTGGAGCAGGAAACAAATCCATTTGTTCAGTCCCCATTCCTGGGGCTGTGAGTAATTTAAAACAAAACAGGTTTAAATAGCATAAGCATTTGACTCTGGAGTCATGAAAGTGCTATATAGTTTTGTCAACTAAGTTTGCACTGAAACTTCTCCAAGGGTCCAGCTGCTCCAGAGCTGGTGATCTCTGGAGAGGAAGGAACTTATACAATCTGGTGGAGGAGAATTGAACAGTGGAGAGCCACCAGGGAAAGTAGAGAATAATGATAACCTCAAGAAGGACCCATGACACCTGCCAGAATTGGAAGACAGCAAGAATAGGACACCTACAGGAACCAGCAACTATGGAGGAGGTGCTGATTAAAAAAACAATGTGCCCTTGAACATGAACATGAAGTAGCAAACCCCTGCATGACCATCCCCTTCAAGGTGACGATACTGTAAGTCACAAGGACTGTACCCTTCCCTGGGGGAAGGACAGCTTAGTTGGCAGCAGAATCTTTTGAATATAAGCTCAAAAACAAGTTCTTCTTGTCTCCTTTACTATGTAAATAAATCTGTTCTGTGGCTCAAAGCCTTGTAAACCTGAACACTTATAAGAGGAACTAGGGGTTCCCCTCAAAAAATAAGACATTAAAGTTCCCATGTTAACACCTGGATGGGGACAAAGAGCCAGAGAATTGAGAGGTTCCCAAAGTTTACCCAACTCCTTGGTGTCAGGAGGGAGCCTCTGACATAAGCTTTGCCAACACAGGAACTGTTATTATGAATCAATATTCTTTACAGAGCAATTGCAGATTTTGGCAGATTTGGGGGATAGTGGGAAAAATGAAATGTGGGAATATAAGACTGCGCTGGTTTCCCATGAGATGATGAGTTACTAAAGGGCAGAGGAACTACCTTCTAATTCCTTTTATAACACTCATTTTGCACTAAACCCTATGTGTCAGACACACAGTGGGCACTCTGTGAACATTACTGAATGACTGCCAGTGGGACAGGAGCTGTTTTCAGAAGACTGAAAGTCTAGAGGGTGATTATTGATCTCAGTCAGAGGGTCAGTATTTTGCAGATGCTCCCCTGATTTGCTCATTGAATTTCATCAGCTTAATCTCAGCCCTAACTATATGCTCTAATTAAAGAGAGTCCTTAGCATCAGCTGTTACAACCTCTCTACTTTCAATCATGTAAAATATTTCTATATTAGTCATGAAGAAACAGAACAAAAAGAAAAAAAATACAAAAAACATAAGGTGAAAATAGTATGCTTTGATCTGCACTCAAACTCCATCAGAGGTGGATAGCATTTTTCACTGTGAGTCTTTTGGAACTGACCTGAATCATTGTATTGCTGAGAACAGCTAAGTCTATCAGAGATGATCCTTGCACAATGTTGCTGTTACTGTATACAATGTTCTCCTGGTTCTGCTCACTTCATTTTGCATCAATTCATGTAAATCTTTCCAGGTTTTTCTGAAACTATCCTGCTCATCATTTCCTATAGCACAATAGTATTCCATTACATTAATATACCACAACTTGTTCAGCCATTCCTCAATGATGAGCATCCTCTCAATTTTCAATTTTTTATCACCACAAAAAAGAGCTGCTACAACTTTTTGTACATGTGGATCCTTTTCCCTTTTTTGTGATCTCTTTGGGATATAGACCTAGTAGTGGTATTGATGGATCAAAGGGTATGCACAGGTTGGTTGCCCTTTGGGCATAATTTTAAATTGCTCTCAGTTCACAACTCCACCAACAGTACATTGGTGTCCATTCTCTTCAACATTTACCATTTTCCTTTTCTGTCATATGAGCCAATCTGATAGGTGTGAGGTGGTACCTCAGAGTTGTTTTAATTTGCATTTCTCTAATCAATAGTGATTTGGACCATTTTTAAATGTGATAATAACTTTGATTTCTTTGTCTGAAAACTGCCTATTCATATCCTTTGACAATTTATCAATTGGGAAATAACTTGTATTCTTATAAATTTGACTCAGATCTTCATCTATTTGAGAAATGAGCCCTTTATCAAAGATACCTGCTGTAAAAATTGTTTCCCAGCTTTCTGTTTTCCTTCTAATCTTGATTGGATTGGTTTTGTTTCTGAAAAAGCTTTTTAATTTAATATAATCAAAAGTATCCATTTGTATCTCATAATGCTCTATATCTCTTGTTTTAGTCATAAATTCTATCCTTCTCCATAGATTTGACAGGTAAAAATTTTCCATGCTCCCCTAATTTACTTATGGTAGCATCTTTTATGTCTAAATTATGTACCCATTTTGACCTGATCTTAGTAAATGGTATAAGATGTTGGTCTATACCTAGTTTTTGCCATACTCTTTTCCAATTTTCCCAGTAGTTTTTGTCAAATAGTGAGTTCTTATCCCAGAAACTGGGGACTAACTGGGTTAGTTAAACACTAGATTACTATGGTCATTTACTACCATGTCTTGTGTATCTGATCTGTTTCATTGATCCACTACTCTATATCTTAGCCAGTACCAGAGAGTTTTGATGATTGCTGTTTATAATATGAGATTTTGTATGACTAGGCCACCTTCCTTTGCTTTTTTCCCCCATTAATTCTTTTGATATTCTTGACATTCTTGATATTCTAACAGATGAATTTTATTATTTTTTCTAGCTCTATAAAATAATTTTTGGTATTTTTGGTAGTTTGATTGGTATGGCACTGAATAAGTAAATTGATTTAGGTAGAATTGTCATTTTTATTATATTGGCTTGGCCTACCCATGAGCAACTGATATTTTTCCAGTTGTTTAGATCTGACTTTATTCATGTGAAAAGTGTTTTGTAATTGTGTTCATATAGTTCCTGGGTTTGCCTTGGCAGGTATACTCCCAAGTATTTTATATTGTCTATGGTTATTTTAAATGGAATTTCTCTTTCCTTTTCTTGCTGCTGGACCTTATTGGTAATATATAGAATGCTGATGATTTATGTTGGTTTATTTTATATCCTGAAACTTTGCTAAAGTTGTTAATTATTTCAAGTAGTTTTTTAGTTGATTCTCTAAGTATACCATCATATCATCTACAAAGAGTGATGATTTTTGTTTCCTCATTGCCTCTTCTAATTAATTTCTTTTTCTTCTCTTATTGTTAAAGCTAACATAACAGTGGTGATAATGGGCATCCTTGTTTTACCCCTGATCTTATTGAGAAGGCTTCTAGCTTATCCCTATTACAAATAATTGTTTGCTGATGGTTTTAAATAGATACTACTTATCGTTTTAAGGAAAACTCAATTTATTCCTATGCTCTCTAGTGTTTTTAACAGGAATGGGTGCTGTATTTTGTCAGAAGCTTTTTCTGCATCTATTGAGATAATCATATGATTTCTGTTGGCTTTGTTAATGATGTGGTCAGTTATGCTGATAGTTTTCCTAATATTGAAACAGGCCTGTATTCCTGGTATAAATCCCATCTAGTCATAGCATATGATCCTGGTGGTATATTGCTGTAATCTCCTTGCTAGTATTTTATTTTAAAAGTTTGCATCAATATTCATTAGGAAAATTGGTCTATAGTTTTCTTTCTCTGTTTTGGCTCTTTCTGGTTTAAGTATCAGCATGGTATTTGTGTCATAAAAGGAATCTGGTAGGACTCCTTCTTTGCCTATTTTTCCAAATAGTCCTCTTTGAGAATGAAGGACAACCAACCAAATAGTATATAGGGTATTGGAATTAGTCATTCTTTAAATGTTTGGTAGAATTCACTTATAAATCCTCTGCTCCTGGGGATTTTTCCTTAGGGAGTTCATTGATGGCTTGTTAAATTTCTTTTTCTTTTTTTTATTAATTTATTTTGATTTTTCAACAATCACTTTCGTATGCTTTTAAGTTTAAAATTTTTCTCCCCCTTCCTCCCCACCACCCTCCCTAAGACGGTGCCCAATCTGATATAGGCTATATATAGTCAGATCTGAAGATTGATGCAAGAAGTTTTATCACAGTTATACATCTTAAGCACCCCACGTGTCTTAATGAAAATTGGCCCCATTCTGGCCAATTAGTTGTTGTTTCCATGTTCCTTTGATCTAATACAATTTGGGGGAAGGTGGGACACTTCTTTTTCTGATTTCAGGGAATTGTACCTGTTTGCTCTTCCCCTCCCAATTTGGAAAGTCCCTAATCTTTCCTCCAATTAGAAATCAGATTACCTAATTTTTTATGCTGGTTAATTGTTTTCCTTTAATTAATTGGTCTTAATTAATAGTTTTTAATTCATTAAAATCTGTCTTTCCCTGTATTCAGGGTTCAGTGCCAAAGCTATGGAGGCCTGGTCCCGATTTGTTATGTTATTGGCTTATATTGTTATGCATTGTTTAATAAATCAATATGCTCAGAAGTTCAAACCTTTGTTTATTCAGCCATTTCACCCCCTCCCCCCCCCCAATTATACTAGTATTTATTCTGAATTGCAGAATCCTGTAGCACAGCATTTACATTTTCTTGCTCAGATGTATCCTCCTGTTTAATCTGAACTGACATCTGGAACAAAGCATGTGATTCTGCCAGGAACTTGGAGAATTTCCCAGAAAATTTCTTCCATATTCTCTGTCATTCTGCTCAGCACCAAAGATGCACCTGATCTCTGTAGAGGTAATCCACCAAATTGGAGATGCCAAGAGATGAAGACGCATGATATCAGTGTGTGGCAAACTATGGCTTGAGGGCCAAATCTTGCCTGCAATCTGTACACATGTGTAGGGCAATACATCTCTACTACAGCAATGTGCTAAGGACTCCCAGGTATGCTGTGGGACCTGGTCCAGGCCACAGGTTCAGCATCTAGAGGGAAGGTACAGATGGAGTAGGAGCAGGGGAAACCTTACTGAGGCAAGGATTTAAGACAACTACAAAAGACTCATGATGAAAAATGCTATCCACAACCAGAAAAAGAACTATGGAGTCTAAATGCAGATCAAAGCGTATTATTTGCTGTCTTTTTTTGGGGGGGGGGTTGTTTCTTCTTTCTCATGGTTCCTCCCACTGGTTCTAATTCTTCTTCACAACATGACTAATGTGAAAATGTGTTTAATATGAATGTATAAGTACAGCCTATATCAGACTGCACACCATCTTGGGGAGAAGGAAGGGGAAGGAGGGGAAGAAAATTCAGAATTCAAAATCTTATGGAAGTGAATTTTGAAAACTAAAAATAAATTAATTTTTAAAAAGAGCCCAGATATATTTCAATAAATCATAGAAGAAAAATGCTCAGATAACTTAGAACCAAAGGACAAAGTGGAAATTGAAAAAATCAGTCATCTCCTGAAAACCCTAAAATGAAAACTAGGAATATGATAGCCAAAATCCAGAGGTCTCAGGTCAAAGAAAAAATACTGCAAGCAACCCTACATGTTCAACTCACCCTGTGCCCTCTAGCTATATATATTACCTCCAACTACAATAATAATAAGCAAGGTCTCATGAGTTACAAATATGATCTTTCCCTGCAGGAATGTATACAGTTCAACTTTAAAAAGTCCCTTATGAGTTCTCTTCCCTGTTTATGTTTTCATACTTCTCTTGAGTTTTGTATTTGAAAGTCAAATTTTCTATTCATCTTTGGTCTTTTCATCAACAATGCTTGAAAGTCCTCTATTTCAATGAATTTTCATTTTTTCCACTGAAGGATTATACTCAGTTTTGCTGGGTAGGTGATTCTTGGTTTTAATCCTAGCTCCTTTGACCTCCGGAATATCATATTTCAAGCCCTCTGAACCCTTAATGGAGAAGCTGCCAAGCCCTTTTGTTATCCTGATTGTGTTTCCACAATACTTGAATTGTTTCTTTCTGACTGCTTATAATATTTCCTCCTTAACTTGGGAACTCTGGAATTTGGCTATGATATTCTTGGGAGTTTTCCTTTTGGGATCTCTTTCAGGAGGTGATTGGTGGATTCTTTCAATTTCTATTTTACCCTCTGATTCTAAAATATCAGGGCATTTTCCTTGATGTTTTCTTGAAAGATGATGTGTAGGCTCTTTTTTGATCATGGCTTTCAGGTAGTCCAGTACTTTTTAAATTCTGTCTCTTGGATGTGTTTTCCAGGTCAGCTGTTTTTCCAGTGAGATATTTCACATGGTCTTCCATTTTTCCATTTTTTTGGTTTTGTTTTGCAATTTCTTGATTTTTCATGGAGTCTTTTCATTCTTTTTCTTTTTTTTCAATTTTTAAGGGGGAGGCGGAGTTCCCCTTTGTAACTCTTAAGGATTAGAATCATGCTTAGAACATGGTAGGCATTTGCTTAATAAATGTTTTTTGACTTCACTGATCCATAGCCATTTGCATTTATCTTCTTAGGCTAAGAGCTCTGTGCCAGTGGGGACTGGCTTCTGACCTGGGTGAGGGCGTGTTCCTATGGCTTAGCACAGCACTTGGCACATAGTAGGGCCCTTAAAATATGGTTCCTTTAGCTATTTGCCCAAAGCAACAGATTCCGAACTTTATATTCACTTTAATATGCTAAGTAAAAAATATGTCAAACAAAATTATTCTTATATTTTATTTTCTGGGGTTTTTTTTAGGCAATTGGGGTTAGGTGACTTGCCCAGGGTCACACACAACTAGTAAGTTTCAATTGGGGTTAGGTGACTTGCCCAGGGTCACACAACTAGTTAAGTTGCAAGTGTCTGAGGCCGCATTTGAACGCAGGTCCTCCTGACTCCAGGGCCGGTGCTCTATCCACTACACCACCTAGATGCCCCTTTACATTTTATTTTCAACATAACACTTGGCGGCAAAGGGCCCGTCAGGCAGGCGGCCCGCGACTAACACCGTTTAAAGTTAAGCACACAATTCGCCTCCCTCTACTCCCTCGGTGCCTCCTCGGATGGCTGGGGAATTGTGGGTAACGCTCAACCAACGAGACGGAGGCACGCCCCTGGTAGAGCGTCCCTCGCCCCGGCACTTCCGGGTCAGCGAGAGCCGCATCTAACCGGGTTAGAGCGTCGCCTTCCGCCCGTGGAGTCGCGTGAGTGACCTTCTCGCGTCCACCGCAATGCTGGCTGCGGCTGCTCGCCCCCTGCGGGGGCCCTGTTTGAGGTTCCGGGCCGCGGCCCTGCTCCAGACCAGGTACCCGAACCGGGGCCGGGACCGGCGGGGTTGGGCCTCCGGGACTCGGGGTGAAGTAGGAGCCTCGGCCTGGAGGCATGAGGCCAGGAGGGGTTGCCTCAGGCTGCTCACTCCCTTGCTGGGGGAGGTTTTTCTCGGAGCCTGGGGCCTTTGGTCGGGAGCCCGTGCGCCCCCCTCCCTCGCAGTCTGGAGCCATAGACCCCTTAGTCCATAGACCCCACAGTCTGGATTCTCTCCCCTTTATGGAGCTCGCGTACCCCCCCGTGAGCTGAGTGAAAGAGTGGCAACCTTTCCTTGTGCCTGAGAGAAGGGAAAGGGCGACCCCTTTTCTCCCCCACCCCGGGCTCTGCTAGTGTGACCTTGGACTGCTCACTTTCTTTCCAGTCCTTGAAGGGGGTGAGGGAGATTGAAGGGAACATTTATCTCATTCGATCCTCGTAATAATCTTGTGAGGTAGGTGCTGTTACTTTAATTTTTCAGTTGAGGAATCCGAGGCAGACATCGGTTAAGTGATTTGGACGAGAGTCACTTAGCTGGTAAATGCCTGAGGCCACATTTGAATTTAGGTTTTGCTGACTCCTGGCCCAGGGCTCTACGTGCTCTATCACCTAGCTGCTTTACGCATCTGTTGGGGGTACAGTGCTGGTACTGATTGTAATTTCCTATGCCTAGTTTTTTATTGTTTTTTTTCCCCACCTGGGTCACATGAGGAGGTTGGAGTACCAGGTTCTTAACCTGAGGTTCACGTTAAGACTTTTGGTCTTCGATGGGAAGAAATTTCGTCTTTATTCCAACATAATTGGTTTCCTTTGTAATCCTATATATTTCACTAAAAATTATAGCAAGCTATTATTTATAGCACTTTTATTTATGCCTTTATAGTTATATTTTGTTTTACTTCCTTATAGCACTTTAAAGTTTTCAAAGATCTTTACAAGTATTAGCCTCATTTTATCCTCATAAAAACCCTTGGAGTTAGATGTTGTTGTTCCCATTTTTATAGCTGAGGAAACTGAGGCAGACACTTTTTTTTTTAAAGTGACTCCCCAGGGTCACACAGTTAGGAAGTATCTAAGGCTGGATTTGGACCTGACTCCAGGTCCAGCACCACCTTGCACGTCATCTAAAAACATTATTCTTAGAGGGGGACTGTGGGTTCCACCAGACTGTCAAAAGGATTCATAGTACAAAAGCTGTTGAACTAGGTGTCTCTAAGGTCCCTCCTAGCTTTTAAGATACATTTATAGCACAAATGTTGGGTTCCAGCCCTGTATACAATTTTCCCTTGCTTACTTGCTGGGCAGTGACAGTCTCTTGTTTGAATGGGGTTGGGTATAGGCTACCATTATTGGGTGTTTGTGCCCTGAGGCTAATGAGAAGCAGCTGTCATCAAAGAAGAAGTGAAACTCTGGCTGAAGCCACTCTGGACAATGCCCCCAAGCAATACCCTCCTAAGATTCAGCAGTTAGTACAGGACATCGCTGGCCTCACTCTACTGGAAATCTCTGATCTCAACGAGTTATTGAAGGTAATGATAATAGTTATCATTTATATAGTGCTTTAAAGTTGCAAGTTGTTCTACTTATTTCATCTTACAACAACCCTGTAAGGTAGGTTATCCTCATTTTACAGATGAGGAAACTGAGGCTGAGAGAAGTTTATGTGACTTTCTCAAGGCTGCATAGGTAGTGAGCATCTGAAGGCAGGATTTGAATTTGGGTATCTTCCTGACTTGAAATCCAATACTCTATCCACTATGCCATCTAGCCGCACTGCCTAGAGAATGGAGTGAGCCATGTATTTGTTGAATTGGGTGTTGAGTAAATGCTAGATTATTGTCTTTCCCAGACACAAGTGGTAGAATGTTGGGTTTTGAGTAAGTTTCTCCCATCAGTTACTTAGTTTAGAGGAAGGAATGCCAGTTGTTAAATTTTGTTCTTTTTTATATTCCTACAGAAAACACTGAAGATTCAGGATGTGGGGCTGGTGCCAATGGGTGGCATGGTACCAGGTGCTGCTACCGCAAAGATAGCCCCTGAGGTAAGTTCTGGGGCTATTTAAAAAGGTAGTCTCACACACACTCACACACACACACACACACAGAGTATCCTCCTGGTACTGTATCATTTTACCCATCATATTGTGTTTCCCCTCCCATTATGTCCTGTGGCCTAGCAGCACTGTAGAAAACAATTTGATATAGGTTGTATGTGTGCAGTCATGCAAAACATAATCCCATGTTAATCATGTTGTGAAAGAAAACACAGACCAAAAAGGAAAAAAAAACCCAAGAAGAATAAAATTTAAAAAATTATGCTTGGATCTACATTCAGACTCCATCAGTTCTTTCACTGGAGGTAGATAGCATTTTTCATTATAAGCCCCTCAGAATTGTCTTGGATCATTGTATTGCTGAGAATACATAAGTCATTCACAGTTGATCATTGTACAGTATTGCTGTTACTATGTACATTGTTCTCCTGGTTCTGCACAGTTTACTTTGTATCACTTCATATTAGTCTTCCTAGGTTTTTCTGAAAGTATCTTGCTTGTCATTTCTTATAGCTCAATTGTATTCCATCACAATCATGTACCTCAACTTGTTCAGCCATTCCCAAATTGATGGGCATCCCTCAATTTCTAGTTCTTTGCCACCACAAAAAGAGCCCCTATAAATACATATAAGTCCTTTTTTCTTTGATCTCTTTGGGAGATAGATCTAGTGATGGTATTGCTAGATTAAAGTATGCATAGTTTTATAAGCCCTGTGGGCGTAGTTCCAAATGGTTTTCCAGAATGGTTAGATCAGTTCACTAACAGTGTTTTAGTGTCCCAATTATCCTAAAATTAAAAAAATAAAAAGATTTATCTCAAATTTTGTCCTATTAATTTCAACCCAGTTTTCTAGTTTAGTTTTTTGGATCTTGTCATCCAGCATATTAGCTATGTCTTTCTTCAATCCTGTTGTGCCTATACTGATTGAAAGAACTCAGTATGTTTAGACTGGAGAAGAAAAAACTCAAGGGAAACATCATAACTGTTGTACAAAAGGGATTAGATTTGTTCTATTTGGTTCCAAAGGGCAGAACCAGGAGTAGCAGGTAGAGGTTGCCAAGAGGCCAATTTAGGTTTGATGTCAGATGAAACATCCTAACAATCAAAGTCTCTCTGAAATGTAGAATGGGCTACTTCAAAATGTTTTAAGTGTCCCTACCTTAGAGGTAGCTCAAGTAGAGTCTGGATGTCCACTTTACACAGTGGTCTGCTGGAAGTCGGGAAGGAAGACCAGCCTCAGTCACTTAGCAATTGTGTGACCCTGGGCAAGTCACTTTAACTGCTATCTGCCTCAGTTTCCTCATCTATGAAGTGAGGATAATAATAGCACCTACTTCACAGGGTTATTATGAGGATCAAATGAATTGATATTTGTAAAGTGCTTAGCACAGTGCCTGGCACATAGTAAGTGATATATAATATATATTTATATATAGAGAGAGCTAGAGAGAGAGAGAAAGTGATATATGTTAGCTACTACTACTACTTGTTGGTTTTGTAGGCAGGGATTCCTTTAGTGTATAGGTTGGACTAGGTGGCTGCCATGGTCCCTTCCCTCGCTGATTCTGTGACCATGTCTTCTCTAAAACTATGTATATGTACATACATACATATACACAAATACACACACACACACATATATATATCTTGCCCAATGCTTAGTGCACACCCTGGTTATAGTGGCAAATTCTTAAATGCTTGTTGTATTGATTTGAAATTGAATTAACCACAATTAGAAGAGATGTTAGAATGCTGTAAATATCTAAATCTTTTAAAAAAAAAACATTTGTCAAGATTCTGCCTTGTATTAATACAATGCAAGGTAATAGAATTACAAAGATTAAAAAAGACTGACTTCAGGAATTGATCATTTCTGTAAAATAAGCAGTGTGGTATTGGATTTGAAGTCAGGACTGGTTTCACATTTCACCTCTGCTCTTCACTGTGTGATTTTGGGGTGACTCTTCCTGGACTGTTTCCCCAGCTGTAAAATGAAAGGGTGGTGTCATTGGTCAGAGACCAGTGGTGTCAAACTCAAATAGAAATTAGGGGCCACTAAGCCATACATTAGTATCCCTTCAGGCTGCTTGTTGACTTAGTTTTAAAACAATGTGATCTATTGTCTTATTATATATATTTTTTGTTAAGCATTTCCCAATTATATTTTAATATGGTTCTGACTACATTCCAGGAGAATGGTGTGGGCTATATGGGGCCAGTAAGCTGTGTGATTGACACCTTTGAACCAAATAACTTCTTAGGTCTTTTCCAATTTTTAATCTATGAGGCCACTGGGGAGAATATAGCATATGTACAGATAAAAAGAATAACATTTATATAACACTAAAATTGCAAAAGATCTATACATATTATTTCATGTGAGCTACACAACTGTTGCCATTCTTGTATGATATGAAGAAAATGCAACCCAGAAAAGTCCAAGGATTTGCCTGTGGTTACACAGATACTGTGTGTCAGAGGAAAGATTTGAACCCCTACTTGGCTCCATAAAGTTTAGGCATCCTATCCATTAATCCATTTTGCCCTTCTCTTCTAAAATTTTATTTGTATTGTCATTTTAACAAACATGAACATTTCAATATATAAACAACAGAAAAAGGGATTGTATGTGCTCCATTGATTTTCTTCTGGTTTTTTGTCATTATCCAACATTTCTCTTATACCACCCCCTCCAATAGAGGCCCTGCCTTATAACCAATAAGTATAGTGAAGGAAAACAACACATTGGCTATGTCTAAAAATACATTTCAGTCCATACCTTTAGTCTATCACCTTTCTGCCAAGCAGTGAAAATTCATGATTAATCATTACATTCATCATAGCTCTGAAGTCCTCTTTCTTTTTTTTGCAGATTTATTTTTTTCTCAATTACATGTAAAACTTTTTTCAACATTCACTTTTTAAAATTTTGAATTTCAAATTCTCTTCCTCCTTTCCCCCTCCATGAGAAAGCAAGCAATTTATACATGTGCAGTCATGCAAAACATTTTCATAGTAGCCATGTTACAAAAGAAAACGCGCACACACACACACACACACACACAAATGCCAAGAAAAATAGAGTAAGAAAAGTGTGCTAAGATTTGCATTCAAACTCCTATCAATTCTTCCTCTGGAGGTGGATAGCATTTTTCATCATAAATCCTTTGGAACTGGTTTGGATCATTGCATTGCTTTTAGCTAAGTGATTCACTCTTGATCGTCATACAGTATTGCTGTTACTTGGTATACTGTTCTTCTGGTTCTGCTCACTTCATTTTGCATTAGTTCATGTAAGTCTTCCCAGGTTTTTCTGAAAGCATCCTACTTGTCATTTCATATAGCACAGTAATATTCCATCACTAGTCATATGCCACAACTTGTTCAGCCATTCTCCAGTTGGTAGGCATCCCCCTCAATTTCTAATTTTTTGCTACCAGAAAAGGTATGTAAATATGTAAATATTATTGTACATATAGGTCCCTTTCTCTTTTCTTTGACCTCTTTAGGATATGGACTTAATAGTGGTATTGCTGAGTTAAAGGGTATGCACAGTTTTATAGCCCTTTGGGCATAGTTCCAAATTGCTCTCCAGAATGGTTGGATCAGTTCACAACTCCATCAACAGTAGATGAGTACCTATTTTTCCATACTCCCTCCAATATTTGTTATTTTCCTTTTCTGCCACTTTAGCCAATCTGATAGGTGTGAAATGGTACCTCAGAGTCTCTTTAATTTACTTTTTTCTAATCAGTAGTGATTTGGAACATTTTTCCATATGACTATAGATGGCTTTGATTTCTTCTGAAAACTACCTATTCATTTCTTTTGACCAATTTGATCAATTGGAGAATGGCTTGTATTCTTATATGTTTGATACAGCTTTATTTTTTTGACTCATTTCTATATATTTGAGAAATGAGGTGTTTATCAGAGAAACTTGCTGTAAAAATTTTTCTTCAGTTTCCTGCACTTTTTCTAATCGTGGTAGCATTGGTTTTGTTTGTTCAAAACCTTTTTAATTTAATGTAATCAGAATCATCCATTTAACATCCTGTAATGCTCTCTATCTCATTTGATCATAAATTTTTCCCTTATCCATAGATCCATCTTTCATACTCCCCTAATTTTCTTATGATGTTTGACCTTACCTTGGTATACAGTGTGTGATGTTGGTCTATACATAGTTTCTGCCAAACTGCTTCCTAGTTTTCCCAGCAGTTTTTGTCAAATAGTGAGTTCTTGTCCCAAAAGCTTGGATCTTTGGGTTTATCAACTAGATTACTATGGTCATTTACTACTGTGTATTGTGTACCTAATCTATTCTACTCATCCACCGCTATATTTCTTAGCCAGTACCAGAGTGTTTTGATGATTACCACTTTGACCTCTGAAGTCTTTAAAAATTATTTTTGTTAGATTGTATTTAGTGTATAAATTGTCCTCCTGGTTCTGCTTACTCTGGAAAAGCTAATATAAGATTTCCCCAATTTCTCTGAATTTATCATGTTTATAATTTTTTTGCAGTAATATTCTATTACATACATGCATCATAATTTATTTAGTAGCTATTTTTTGTTTCTAATTTTTTGTTACAACAGTAAATGCTGCTAAAAACAAATTTGTACATTTGTCCTTTCTTCCTTGATCTCTTTGGGGGATATTCCTAATTAGTGGAATTGGTGGGTCAAAGGATATACAATTTAGTGACTTTTGGGGAATATTTCCAAATTACTTATCAGAGTAATTGGACCAATTCACAGCTCCACCAACAGTGCATTAGTGTGCCTGTCCTTTCATAGCCCTTTCTACAATTGCATTTTCATCTTTTGTCATCTTTGCCAATCTGATGGGTGTGAAGTAGAACATCAGAGTTGTTTAAATTTCCATTTTTTTAATTATTTGGAACTTTTTTCATGTGATTGTTGATAGCTTGCATTTTTTTCTTTGCAAAACTGCTTGCTAATATCTTTTGACCATTTAAATACTGAAGAATGACTTTTGTTCATATGTATTTGTATCAGTTCTGTAATGTCTTGGAGATAAGATCACTATCAGAAATTTGCTGTAAGGATTTTTTTTCCCTATTGCTATTGATTTTATTTGTGTTAAATCTTAAATGAGTTGTGCTGCCTTTTCAAAAGGAACAGTTAATGATGAAAAAAGCAGAAAAAAGTGACAATATGCCTAATACTTGTGCAAAATCTTTACTATTTTATTTTATTGCCCTTTTATCATTTATGATCATCTCTATTTAGTTTTAAAAGGGATTTTGAAAATTTTTTTTTATATCTTCCAGTTTATTTATATTACCTTTTATATTTTGGTCATGTATCTTACTGGAGTTTATTGTGGTATGATGTGAGATTTAGGCTTATTTTTGTTGGACTGCTTTTCTGGTTTTTCTAGCAATTTTTGTTGGGAAATTCTTAGCCCAACAGTTGGTATCTTTAGATTTATCAAACACAATGCTTGGTTTTAATTGCTTCTGGGTCTTGTTTAGCTAATCTTTTCTACTGATCAATACTTATGTATTTAATACTTACGTACTTAATCAGTATCAAATAGTGTTGATCACTCCTTTATAGTACATTTTTGAGATCTAATACTGGAAGGTGCCCTTTCTTCCCACATTTTTTTCATTATTTCCCTTGAGATTTTTTTTGATTTGAGATTCTTGATTTTTTTTGTTCTAGGTGAATTTTGTTATTTTTTCAAATTCTATTTATATAACCCTTTGTTAGTTTCTCCATAGGTTTGTAAATTTGTTTAGATAGTAATTTATTATATTGCTACAGACCAATCATGAGAGTGTTTTGTAGTTCTATTCATATAAGGCCTAGGTGTGTCTTGGTAGGTGAATTGCCAGACATTTTACCCCTTTTGTAGTTATTTTGAATGGGCTTTCTCTTTTTCGTGTTCCAGAATTTTGTTAATAATATGTAGAAAAGCCAATTAATTTTTATCCTGCTATTCTAGTGAAGTTGTTTCATTTAATTTTACCTGAATTTGCAAGGTTCCCTAAACCATGTTATTAGCAAGTAGTAATGATTGTTTCTTGTTTGTTTGTTTGTTTTTGCTTTTCGGTGAGGTAGTCTGGGTTAAGTGACTTGCCCAGGGTCACACAGCTAGTAAGTGTCAAAGTGTCTGAGGCCAGATTTGAACTCAGGTCCTTCTGACTCCAAAGCCAGAGCTCTATCCACTGTGCCACCTAGCTGCCCCTAATTGTTTTTTTCTTTTTCTGTGTTTATTCACTCAATTTTTAAAAATTATGTTATTGCAGAGGTTCTACAACTATTTCAAATGGTAGTGGTGACAATGGACAGCCTTGCTTTACATCCGATCATATTGGAAAAGCAAAACAGCTGAATCTTTATTGAGTTCTATTTTCCTGTAAAGCTAAACTAAGGTTCTGGGGGTTAAATAATAATAATATTATAATAACTGGCATTTATAAAATTTATATACATTATCTCATTTGATCCTGAGTGGAGGGGTGTCAGGAATAGTAAATTTGTCTGATGGCAATCTGATTTCCCTTTCAGAGTTAGAAAGTAGGCAGGGAGATGAGGCTAGGGCTGTGTCTGGCTTCACCTTTGCTTTTCCCCCTCTCATTCTAGGCAGCAGACGAGGGAGAGGCACCCAAGCAGAAGGAACGAACACATTTCACTGTTCGGCTGACAGAAGCCAAGCCTGTGGATAAAGTGAGACTAATCAAGGAAGTAAAGAGTTACATCCAAGGCATAAATCTTGTCCAGGTATGAAGAGTTCTTACCCCAAGGATGTTAATGCCTGCTTAATGGTTTTCAGGTTGAGAGAATCTCCCTCTTCTGCATCCCACCAGCTTTCCTCCGGAGTCCTTGTGCCATGATCATAATGATGCAGTTGCCCCAGACTTGATCCTCTAGCCAAGGACCAGGCTTATTATAAAGACCCCCAGGGCTTTTATGGCTCTAATCCTCCACTTCTTTTCATTTCAGGCAAAGAAGCTGGTAGAGTCCTTACCACAGGAAATCAAAGCCAATGTTGCCAAATCAGAAGCAGAGAAGATTAAAGCAGCCTTGGAAGCAGCTGGCGGCACTGTGATTTTGGAGTAGGAGTTTGGGGTTCTGAAGGACTTGTGCAAAGCGGGGTTTACTCCAGTCCAGTCTGACCACTTGGGCGGTAGCCCCATGTGTATTACTGCCTGCAGACCTGAACAGATGCGCTTAACCAGTGTGGGTAGTTTGAGTGAGAACTTTCTCAGCTTTTCTGGGGACTCTGTTCTGGGAGGGAAGGGGAGGCCCATCTGTCCCAGGCCCTTTTAAAAGGCTACTGTGAAGAAGGACTCTGTGAAACACAAGAGTGGGGAACAAGTTTGTTCGAACAGTAGTCTATGAGGAAAATATATTATTACCCATACTTCCAGTGTGTTTAGAATTGTGTGCTGAAGACCAGACACAGGCAGCCAAGAATTGGCACAGCAATATCTTAAACTACTGAAGTTGGATGTTGTGGGGATAACCTAGGTTTGTGAGGTGGTCTGGGCCCTAAGTCTGCCTGCTTGTCCTCTTTGTTGTGGTGCCAGGTAAATACTGTATTTCTCAAGTCCTTAAAGAAAGGTACTTCCTTCCTTGTCATTTTCACCATCTCTTTGCAGTGTCTGTGGTATAGTGACTTTATGATGGGTACTATTGGTTTAAAAAAACAAAAGGCAGACACTATCCCGTCGGCAAGCTTATATTGTAATTGGAGGGACAGTATGTATACATAGATATTTAATAGTACAAGGTATCATAGGAAAAAAGGTGTTACAGGAGTTATAAGAGCTTGATCACCCAGAGTATAGAGAAGGCTATCTGGGAAAGACAGGGTTCAAGAAAGATCTTGAAGGGTTGGACTTACATAAATAGAGAAAGAAGATATTTAAAGCAGGAAGAATAGTGGGAGTAAAATAGGGGCAAAAGTGTTCTGGATGTATTTACGGGAAAGTAAGTAGATTAGATTGGCTGGGCAGTTATATAGGGTAAACAGGGAAAGGTTCTGGGAGACCTTGAATCCCAGGCTAAAGAGTTTAGGCCTTTAATTTATCCACAGTTGTCAATACTTGAGGGAATGGGAGTAGATGCAACATTTACAAGCTAATGAAGTTGCTCTCACCCTTGAAAACTGAGCCAGTTTTATAACTAAGTAAGCTGAGCTTAACTCTAGGGATGAGTCCTTTCTGAAGACTCAAAAGGGATTAGGACCTGTATGTGCCATAGTAATTTATCCAGAATAGGCCACTACTGCCCAGCTTTGAAAGAGGGAACCGTGTCTTAAGAGGCAGCCAGCCTGGGAGGTGAGGTAGACAAATGCTACAGGAGTTAGGAAGCACTGGATCAGCTGGATTGTGGGGAAGTCTTCAGAAGACAGAAAAAGTCATCTAAAGCTTCCCAATGTCAGTGCCTTATATTTGGGGCCTTGCCTAGACTCCCCCCCTGGTTCCATCTGTGTAGTTACTGAAGAGTTAATGATTTGCCTAACTGGGCTGGGGGCATCTGATCCCTCCCCAAGTCTTCCTGTTTGCTCTCCGGGGTGTGACGGTTCCCTTGCAAGGTGATTGCCCCAGACCTGGGGTGAAGCTAACTGTTTTCTGGCATCTATTTCCTGGGCTATTTATCCCCAGGAACAGAGATAGAAGCATAAAAATCAATACTAAATGGAAGTCTTAGGCCCAAATCTCAAGTTGCTCTGTATGCTGATCCCAACTAGTTACAGGTGGACTTCCTCCTTTCCCAAACTCAGTTCCTGGTAATGGAGAGAATGAGACCCTTTTCTTTTGCCATTTTTACTTTTAGCCCTGGACTTTAGGAGAATGTAAAATACTATCTCAGTTTTAAGGCACTTCTAACCTGAACAAGAAACCCCTCTACCATGAACCCAAGAAGTGGTCATTCAGCCCTTGTTTAAAAATTGGAGAGGAAACATTTACTTCCCAAAATAAATCATTTTACCTTTGGTTAACTTAATAGTTAAGAGATTTTTCCTTATATCAAACCTAAATCTTTCTTTACAACTTTAAAACCTACTATTTCTGGTTCTCCCCTCAGGCCCAGCAATTCCTAGTCTAATTCTTCTTCCAAGTGACAGACCTTCATATATTTGAATACTAGTTTTCTTATTGTACCCATTCACTACCCTCTGAGTCTCCTATATCAATTATCAATTTTTTCTATTCTTTAGGCTAAACGTCCCCAGTTCCTGCAACTGATCCTCATATGCCAGGATCTTGAATGGCTTATTCATTGTCCTCCAGACTGTCTTCAGCATGTTAATGGTCTTCCTAAAATGTGCCCGTGACTGAACATAATACTCCACAACTAGTCTAGGTGGGAGTACGGCATCCTATATCCAATGACAACATGGCTGCCTTCATGTAGTATAAGATAACATTAGCTTTTTTGGGGCTGTCATATTATGTTTAGGGAGCTTGCCCTTTATTCATACCCTTAGATCTTTTCCATCTACACCTTCCCCATTTTTTCTTGTGAAGTTTGTCTTTTTTTTAATCCAAGTGTAAGAAATTTATCCCTATTAAATTTCATCTTATTAGATTTGGCTCAACAGTCTAACCTTTAAAAATCTTGGATGCCGACTTATTACCTAGTTATATGTCATCTTCAAATATAAGTATGGCATGTGTTTTTATGTATGTATTTAATAGCATGGGGCCAAGTATAGATACTTTAGCACTCAGCTAGAGACCTTCCAAGTTGACATCAAACTATTAATGACTACTTTTTGGGTCTGTTTATTCAACTTCTTAATCCACCTCTTATCACATATCCCATATATTCATCATTATCACAAGGATTGTGTAGTCATTTGTCAAATACTTTGTTAGAATCTAAGTAAACTATACTGCACTCCCTTGTTCTGTTAGTTTAGTAATCCTGTTTTGAAAAAAGAAACAAAGCTAGTCTGCCACAACCTGTTTTGGATGATGCCAGGCTGGAGCCTTGAGATCATGCCTTCCCTTTTTCTTGAGTGTTCACTAACCATCCTTTTCATAAAATGTATTCCATAATTTTACCAGGAATCAACGTCAAGCTCACTGGCCTATAATTTTACTGACTCAATTCTAAACTTTTTTTTTTTAAATCAAAGCATATGTGTTGGCATACCTACTGTTTGATTATCTCTCTGAGCTCATTTTGTATTCGCTATTTTCATTACATCTTTTTGAGTCTAAAACTTATACTAAGGAGAGAAAACAGCCTAAATGTTAATTGAACTCCCTCATTTTTTTATCTGTTATAGTGCCATCTAACCTAAGTAGCAGGCATATCCTTCCACTTTTCCCTGAGCTTCAAAACCAACCCTTTTTGTTCAATACCACTGATTCATTAATAGGGGTTTGGATATTGATTCTACTATTTTTTTGGTAACTTTTTTTTTTAAAGAATGAGATACTTATTTTTTTTATAATAACTTTTTTTATTTTTAGTTTTTAACATTCACTTCCATAAGATTTTTAGTTTTAAATTTTCCCCGTCTCGTCTCCCCCTTTCCTAAGACAGCATGTAATCTGATATAGGCTCTACTTAATACCTTCATATTAAGCATATTTTCACATTAGTCATGATGTATAGAAGAATTAGAACTAATGAGAGGAACCAAGGGAAGGAAGAAATAAAAGTAAACAACAAAAGAAAAGGAGAGCAAATAGTATACTTCCATCTGCATTCAGACTTCATGGTTCTTTTTCTGGATGTAGATAGCATTTTCCATCTTGAGTCTTTTGGAGTTGTCTTAGATCCTTGCATTGCTGAGAAGACCTAAGTCTAGCAAAGCCAGTCATTGCACAATGTGGCTGTTACTGTGTACAATGTTCTCCTGGTTCTGCTCATTTCACTCAGCATTAGTTCATATAAGTCTTTCCAGGTTTTTCTGAAGTCTGCTTGCTCATCATTTCTTATAGCACAATAATAATCCATTACATTCATATACCACAAATTGTTCAACCATTCCTCAATTGATGGGCATCCCCTCAATTTCTTTGATGATGCACTTATTTTTAAAAATCTATTGATGCCTTTTTTTTTAAACATAGTATTCATTTATGAATATAACCCTTTCCCCTCTTTCCTGTCTCGTAAGCCATCTCTTATAACAAAGATTTAAAAAGAAGGAAAAATGGACCTCAGCAAGATAACTCTCCCTACTTTTTAAGGTAGCATAAAATAAGGAATTTTATTTTTCTATCAGTCCAATTCTTAGGAAGTTCTTTCTCACGGAGGGGAAATCTGCTTCCCTTCAGATTTCACTCATTGGTCCCCTTGAAGCCATATAGAATGAATCTATTCTCTCTTCCTCATTACAACCTTTGAAATATTTGAAGAGACTAGCACATCTCCTTCCCCAAGCTAAGTATTCCTTCTTTTCTCATATAGAATTACTTCTTTTCAAAATGTATCCGCAGTTGAAGACAGCATGGCAGAAGTGGTCTGATCAAACTGAGTACAGGAGGACTCACCTCCTTTAATCTAGATAATATACCTCTATTAAATAGCAGCCTAAAGATTGCTTTAGGTTTGTTGGCTGCTTTAACTCCCTAGTGACTCTTCCATATGAGCTTACAGTCAACTAAAATTGACGTGCATTTTTAAAAATATAGGTCACCTTCACATTTTTTGTTAAATTAGTTTTTAATAGTTGAGGCCTATCTCTGACCTGCTGGAATCTATTTTGAATGAAAATCCTAGCTTCCAGCCCCAATAACTGGCCCTCTTAACACTGTAATCTGCAGATCTGAGAAAGCATTCCTACTATGTCAAGAAGCTTGATATAGTGGAAAGAGATCTGGAATTGGCTGGGGTCAAGAGACTCAGCTTCATATACCAGCTCGGAGCAAGATGTGTGACAACAGTCAAAACCAGTTAACTCCTCTGAGAGGAGCTGAGAGGGACCATGATATTAGCAGTGTCTACCTTCCTTGCATGATGCTTGTGAGCTCTCTGTTGTATTTAAATTCCTGTTTGATGTCTTTTTGATAAGTGTTGAATAGGACAAGACTAAGGATAGGGACCTGGAACACTCTTATTTGAGACAGCCAGTTAAAATTTAAAATGCCTCCTTCTTATTCTGTCCTTAGTAATTTTCTTGTAAACCTCAGGTTATTCTGAGCCTTGGCCTTATTGACATTATTTTTACCATTCCAGGCTTCTGTGTTTGTTCTTAGTAATAGTTACTCTATTTTCATCTTTAGTATATGTTCTTAAATCTTAGTTCATCAGAGAGTGCACCATAGAGCTATCCCCGGATTTCTTCAGATCTTCCCTCATCTCCTCTGCCTTATTTGTGATTTATTATTGGAATTTTATGTTATTTTTTGAGAGCCTCCATCCTCCTTGAGATATTTTGAGAGGCTCTGACCATGGGATCATACCTGTCTTCTCTGAACTTTATTATTTATACTCTTTGTATTGGTATTGGTAATATGTGTATATGCATATATGTCAATACAAAGAGTATGAATATACAGATGTACATATTATGGTATGTATGTGTACTGTGTATGGGATGTGTGTATACAAGTGTGTATGTATGTGCACACATATACATATGCCATAAGAATTGTTTCTAACTTGCTTCCCTGTTATTTTCTCCTAGACAACAATTCTGTGCTTGTTTTTTATGTGCCATACACATTTTTTCACTGCTATCATCTGGTTTAATGGTTTTGTCTGGGTTTGTTTTTCTCCCCAACTTTTTCAAAATTTTAAATTTTTCAGTTTTCTAACTCTTGCCAGGATCCCATCATTCTTGAAGCCTAAAGCATGGTTCACGTAAACAAACCCTATTTATCAACACCATCTAGGTAGCCTATTGTTCACTCCCTATATTATCCTTTGTCTCCCAAAATCTTCAACTGATTACTTTGCTTTGGAACCTTAGAGACAAACAATGAGAATAGCTCAGAAGTTTCCTAGGAGGGGCATGGTCAGTGAGGTTGGGCATGTTTTAGCCAAATAAAAAGCCAATTTTGTACAAAGAGATTTCACTTCTTCACTCCATCTTTGTTACTGTTAAAAGTCTGTGGAGCTTTAGTTCAGTGTTTGAATAATCAACTGGATAGAACAAAGTTGGACCAGCCCACTTCTTTCTGGTCTTCAGTTTTCTCATCTTTATTTTTTTATTTTTTTTTAGTTGGGCTATGGGGGTTAAGTGACTTGCCCCAGGGTCACACAGTTAGTAAGTGTTATGTGTCTGAGGCCGAATTTGAACTCAGGTCCTCCTGAATCCAGGGCTGGTGCTCTATCCACTGCGCCACCTAGCTGCCCCCAGTTTTCTCATCTTTCGAACAAGAGCTAGACGATTTCTTATGGTTCCTACCAGATTTGATGTGGTATGGTTTTATGATTGGCATGGTTGATAGAAAATAAGCTAAGAAGACATTCTGTGTGACCTGGGCAAGTCACTTAACGATGCAGTTCTCTAAGCACCTCTGAGACTCAAACTTGCAAAATAGGCACCAACTGGCCTGGATAAGGAGTTTCCTCACCTAGAACTTGCTTGTACCAGTCAATTCTTATGCTTATCCCCCATGATTCTTAGTTATTGAGAGTATAGATCTAGAATTTAAAGGTTCCTGGAAGAGATTATCTGGCTACCTAGTCACAGAATATACTTTTAATAATTATCTATTCCATTCACCTTATTTTTGCAAATGAGGGAATTAACCAAGAGAAGTGTAATGACTTGGCCAACATCACGCAGCTGAAACTGAACCAGTCCACCACCACCACTACTACTACTACTACTACTACTACTACTACTACTACTACTACTACTACTACTACTACTACTATTACCACCACCATCACCACCACACTGCCTTAGGCAAGCTCCTTCATTTTACAGAAGAGGAAATTGAGGTCCATAGAAGTAAAATGGCTTGCCCACAGTCATGCAATAATTTTAAGTGCCCAGAAATTATTTGCCTAATGCACTTTGATGTAAACTAATTGCTACAAAGCAAAGTCCCTTAAGAACAAGCACTATCATTCAGTGTTTAATTGGCCTCAGCCTTACTTGATTCAGCCATATATTCAGAAAATCTGTACCATTCAAAGTAATTGGGACCTAAAGAGGATTTGGGAATTTTAAATTTTACTTAAACTAATTCTTTGGGAATAGTAAGTCTTTAATTCCTTATTTATTTATTCCTCTTTATTTAGTGAGAAGAAACAGGTTAGACTAAGCTCTGATCAGCATCCCCATCCATGTTTTGGTGGGTAATCACTTCACCCTTTAATTGGGGCTGCCTTCTTGTGAATGGCTAGATTATTTTGCTACTAACTCCTGCCTATTGATTTTCTCAGAAGAAAGGCTCTGTATAAATTAGTTGGGCAGTACTGAAAGTCAACAGTGAGCCCTGTGGAGGGAGGTACATTTAGGTAAGATAATACATAAAGGTTATCAACATATTCACTAGGCTTCAAGACACAACAATACACGAAAACATTCTTGAGATCCCCTGATAACCCTAAGGAGATGAGAGAAGGCCTCATAGAGAAGGTGGCTTTGGAGTTGGGTTCTGAAGAAAGTCGTGATGGTTCTTCAGTCACTCCAGGCTAGGTAGGAATGTCAATTTGGTTTTGTTGGGGTAGGATATAATGACTTGGTACACATATCTGTGCACTTGGAGGGAGCTGAGGAGAGGCAGTATCCCTGAATATAGGCCCCTGCTTCTTATTTCCAGCCATCTATCCTGTACCAAGTTTCAGCTGCTTGTGGCTTTGCCCATGACTGTGATTAGTGGGGAGTTTCCTTTAGAAAGGAGCTATAAAAAGACAACCTTGGCAGCCACAGCCCTGTTCATGGTTTCAGACACAAAGCAGTAAGTTGCGTTTCCTGGTACGTCTTGGTAATCCCTTAAATTCAGCTTGATATTCTCAATATCCAGGACTTATTTGAGGTCCTGTAGAATAATGGGGCCATAGAATCTCTGTAATTTAGTAATGTCAGAGGTGATAACATGAGTAAGACAGTGAAACGCAAATTAAGGTAAAGCTGTGTACAGTGTGTTGTGCACATGGGAGGTAGGGGTGAAGGGGGAAGGTAGCCTGCTTGGGTTAGCTGAGCCTGTGGTTCAATACCTTGCCTCCCTTATGAGGTGGAGTCTTATTGGAAATTGAAAGGGGAGAAAGGAAGAATTTCAGTGAAAGGTCAAATACTCCCCAAATGGGCCTTCTGATGGAATAATAAAGAAGAGCTGCCATTAACATACTTCAAGAACTGATGATTTTATTGGTGTGGTTCCTTCCTTCTACTTGTGCAAACTTTTGACTCCACACCTTAGGAGACTTTATCAATAACTAATCAAAATTTGTCTGTTGGTCTGTTGATCACCTGGTGATGAGCCTGTCTAAACTTAGAACAGAAACATCATTGGCCTGTCTATGAAGCCTTCTATCGGACCTGCCAGAGCAGCCTTCCAGAATCCCCCACTTGTCACCTCACCGCCACAGTGAGGCAGTGGTGGAGGATCATATACTTAGCACTGAAAAGAATCTTCGGTATCAGCTGTTTATTCCAAGCCTTATTCTATATGAAACGGGCCCAGAGAATGAAGTGAGCAGCCCAAGAGGACAGATAACAGAACTGGATTAGAACCTCTTAGGACCTGACAATTTACAAAGTGCTTTCCTCCTAACTCTAGGAGCAAGGATTTGCAAATGAGGAAACATGGGGAAGATCGTGATGGTGAAGCCTACGTTCATATCAAACATTTATTAAGTACCTACTGTATGTCAAATACTGCAAGCACAGCCAATGGGGATACAAATAGGAAGGATGAAACAGTTTCTGTTATCTGCTAACAAGTTAGGGAGGAGTGACAAATGGCCCACCAAGGACTAGACTCACACTGTCTTGCTCTAAATCCTCTGTTCTTTGCACTATCCCAGACACTTTTGTTCTGTGTTGTTACTTTCCTGGAAAATTCAGAGTTTAAACTACCAGTATAGTGTTCCTGGTTGTTGAAATGGCATTGAAAAGAGATCAAACCAGGCTAAGGACAGAGAAGACATTTAGAGCTTTGGGATGCCTTAGCGATCATCGAGTCCCGCCACTTCATTTACAGTTGAGGAAACAGGTACTGAGAATTAAGCAATGCCTAAAATTACACAGTAAATAGGACCCTGAATCAAACCCACTGACTATCTGTGAAAGGCTCATTAATCCAGCACCCAGCATGTTACAAGTAATTTACCCAAGACCACAGGTAGCAAGTGACAGGACTAGGAATTGAATCGTGACCTTTCAGGTTCCAAAACTCCTTCCACAGCCTCAGGAGCTACCTTTCAAAGAGATGCTTTTCCCCAGTGCAAGGCTGCTTTACGTGGCCTGTTTAAAGCCAGCATCTTTTGAGGGAGGGTGGGGCCGACTTCACAAACTTTAGAGCCAATCCAAGCGGCTACAGGTGATAGGCAAGGTTCTAAGATACAGGAGAGGTAAGGCGAAGGCCATCAAGGAAGATAAGGGGACGTGTGGTCCTTAGATGTGAGCCACTTTGAGCTCCAACGCTATTGTCAAGGACCATTTATTGGGCGCCTACTGTGTGCCGAGCACTTTGTGTAGTAAGAAAGGAAAAAAGCCCTCACTTACCCCAGGAGCTCGCAATCCCACGCTCGGCGCTTGTTCAGTCGCGTCCGACTGTTCGTGACCCCGAGGACCACGCCACGCCACTGCTGGACACGGGGTTTTCTTGGCAAAGATACTGGAGTGGTTTGCCATTTCCTTCTCCAGTAGATTAAGGCAGACAGAGGTTAAATGAATTGCCCAATAAGTGTCTGAGGCCGGATTTGTACTAGGCTCAGTGCTCTACCCACTGAACCATCTAGCTACCTCCAATAATAAATATTTGTTGAATTTGACTGAATCGAGTGGGGGAGACAACGTGCAGCAACTGTGTACCAGGGGGAACCTTACGGAGGTAGCCTCGGAAGGAGGGCGCTAACCTTAAGGAGGACTGAAGGGTCTAGAAAACCAAACTGCCGCGTCCCCGAGACTGCCAGCCCCAAGAAGGAAGCACGGGGGTAACCTGGGCTCCCCCAGCACGCAGCCGCAGCGCACGTTCCGGCGCGGTGCCCTTGACCGCGGCCACCGGCTGCCGACCCCCGCCCCCGCCCCCGCCCCTGCCCCTCGGGCCCGGAGGCGCTGCCGCGGCCCCTTTAAGGCGCGCCGGGCCCTCGCCGCTTGAAGCCGGGCTCCTCTCGGCGGGGCGGGCCCGGCGGGGGCTGATCCTCCCGGACGCCGCGGCCCATTGGCTGCGAGGGGCGGCGGGCGGTGCTTTGAACCTGCTTCCCCTGAGCCCGAGCCGGAGCTGGGCCTCTCTCGCTGCGCCTTACCCCGTGCGCTGAGTGCTGTGCTCCGCCGGCTCGCGCTCGTCCCCGCTCTGGCCCGAGTAGCCCGGTGCAGCCCGGTGCGGCTCAGCCCCTCGCGGAACAGCCATGTCCAATAGGCGCGTGTCCCGCTGGTACTTTGGGGGGCTGGCCTCCTCCGGGGCCGCGTGCTGCACCCACCCGCTGGACCTGCTCAAGGTGAGCGGCACACCCGGTCCGGGATGCCGGAGGCCCGAGCTGCTGATCCGCACCCCGCACCCCCTCCTGGCCAGGGGTCCCCCAGAGCAGCCCCCACGCACTCCAGTGGTCAGGGTCCTCCCCTCCATCCTCCTCTCTGGCAGTCCCCGGGGTGGGAGGCTTGGGGTAGCTGAGGTGAGAAGGGAAGGGAACTAGCATTTACTAAATGCATACTATGGACTATGCACTGTACTATGCATTTAATAAATGTTATCTCATTTACTGGCAGGGCCTTGAGGAGGGCAAGAGAGCTGTCTGCCTCCTGGGAAGGTGGGGAGCCCTCAGGACTAGTGAGGTGCCCACACCAAAAGAAATGGAGAGGCTAAAGAGAGGTTGGGTGAGATTTTCCACTGCAGCTGCAGCATTTTAAGAGAGGGTTAAGTGGTGAAGAGTCAGTGGGGTCAGGCCCTCAGCTGTTAAAATAATCCCTTCCCCTTCCTTGAAGAATGTTTTCCTGTATCTGTACTTTTCAATACTGAGGGACAAGCCAGCCCAACCAATATGCTTTCTTTCCTTCCCCCCCTTTTTTCACCACTTGTGAAATGGTAACCTAGCTTCTCAGTCTTGCTGAGTCAGCTAATAAGCATTTATTAAGCACTCCTGTGTGCCTGAAAGAATGGTAACCATTCTGCCCCCAAATTCCCTCCTGGCGAAGCAACTTACTTAGGCAGAAGTAAAGTCAGCACGTGTATAAACAAAATTAAAAACCCAGACGAGGTCAGGAAAGGCTTCTTGAAGGAGGAGACACTGGAGCTGAGCCCAGAGAGGTAGGTAGGCTGGGAGAGCGTCCCAGGCATGGGGAAAACAGCCCATGCAAAGTTAAAGGGAGGAGGAGAGAGAATGTCCTGTGTTGGTGATGAAAGGGGAGCCGCAGGCAGTCTGGTTGAAGTGCCGAGTTTTCTTGAGGCTGAGTATGGTAATCAGCCTGGAGACATAGGTTGGCTCCTGTTTGTGAAAGGCTTTAAGTACTCAATCGAGAAGTTTGTATTTTATCTTTGAGACAGAGAAGCGCTTTGGGAGCAGAGAAGTGGTCAGACCAGCTGCATTCAGGGAGACTAATTGCGAAAGTCCAAGGGAGGAGTGATGGAGACCTGAACTAGGGTGGTCATGGTGTGAGTGGGGTGAAGGGAAGACTTGGCCACAGATTTAATGTTTCCAAACCATTCTTTCAGGCCTAGCTCATGTATCCCCTTTATTCATAAAGCCTAGATTATAAACTCCTTGAAGACAGGTACTAAGTAAATTGTCTCTCCTCCCCCCCAAAGCAGGCCTTGATTATATGGTAGGAGCACTCAGTAGCCTTTTGAATTGAATTGAATTGAATTCAGCTAGGATTTATTTAGCACCTACCCAGTGCTGAGCAAGTGGTTAGGTAGACCCTGAGGGCACAAAGTAAAAACATTACATTTTCTGTTTACATTCCCTTGAGGAGAAACATGTATACATATAAGGACATACACAATATTTATACAACGTCATTTCAAGAGACAGGGCACAGGTCTAATATGAAGGGAGATTTTTAAAATTTGGTTTTTTGGGGGTTACATTTTAAGTTCTGAACTGCCTCCCTCCTTCCCTTCCTCCTCCCCACTGTGAAGGGAAATTTATTAAAAATAGAGCAAGGATTCCAGAGAGTGCAGTGGAAGGGGGTAGAGAAGAGTGGTGTGGGGACACGTGGGGACGTTGGACTGAGAGAGCGGTGAGGTCAGGGAAGGGAAAAGAGCCACAATTTTAGCCTTACCCTCTCCGCATCAAGGGTAGTGTTGATTTAATTAGCAACCCATGAGAAAGTGGGGGAAGGGAAGGTGATCAATATGGCTGGGGTTGGTAGAGCCCTAGGGCCTGGCTATTTATGGAGAGAAGAGATTTGACATATTTTGAGATATTCAACTCCTCAACCTGATCAACTCTGCCCCAGTCATTTCTCATCTTTCCCTTTGGTAGGGGTGCCCGTGGAGGGTGTTTGTTCCCAGCTGAAATTGCAGATATGGAATACTAGAATCGAGGCCCAGAAAGGTTGGGTGAATAAGTGGGAGGGTCTGGATTAAAATCCAGGCCTTTTGATGCCATATTCACTCCATGTTCATTCCACTCACCTTAAAAAAGATAAACACCAGTATAGGAAAGCTTATATATGCTCAGGGCCAAATGAGAAGGACCTCAGAGAGCTCTCTTTTGGCTAGCATGATCTGAGGGCTGCAGTAAAGGAGATGGGACTTAAGATAGTCCTTGAAGGTCAGTATCACAAAATAGATAGGAAACTGATCTCTCAATCTAATCCCCTTAGAGGTCATCTAAACCCAGCATTTAAAACTGACCCTCAGAAGGCGATGTAGATTTGTTCAAAGTCACATGAGTGGAAGATCTAACAATTAAAACCAGCTGCCCTCAAAATCCAGAATTTTTTTTTCCATTAGACTTTGCCAGATGTTCCAGCCCATCAGTTATCTCTCACCACAAACCAGTTTGTTAACTATAAATTGTATTTAAAGCACTTTCTAATGTTAGCTTTTCCTCCTACTCCATTTTAAGCTCTAGGAGACTTTGGCTTCTCAGTTTGGGCTGAAAGAAAATGCCTCATTAACTTTCACCTACTTTCTTCAACCCTGCCTTGATTCTACCTAAACAGCTACAGTTTGGAAGGGCAAAGTTTTGGAAGGTCCTGAAGGGCAACTTTGAGGTCCTTGCAATTTAATTTATGACTCTCCAAGATTTACTGTCAGCTCTTTTTGCTGACTTTGTACCTTGGAGTGAGGGTTGAAGGTTTTCTTTGGGCTGTGACCCTTTTAGGGAACACCAGGTCTAAAGCAGATCACAGTAGCTTGTATATACTCAGTCACCTTGAATGAATGAATGAATATTTATTAAGGGCTTACTCTGTGCTAGGGGCAGCTAGGTGGCTTCCTGGATTGAGTGCTGGGCCTGGAGTCAGGAATTCAAATGTGGATTGAGACACTTAATTAGCTGTGTGACCCTGGGCAACTCACTTAACTCTGATTGCCTCCAAAAAAAAAAAGAGAGAGTCTTAACAGCTCCAGGATCTTTGCCAAGAAAACCCCAAATGGGGACATAGAGAATTGGACATGACTGAAAACGACTGAACAACAGCAACTATGTGCTAAACTGTGGGGGAGAGAAATACAGAATCAAAATAGCCCTTGTCCTCAAGGAGCTTAGAGTCTTATAGAGCTGACATTGTTAACCTTTTTTGTGTCATGGACTCCTTTGGCAGTGAAATCTGTGGACCCCTTCTCATAGTAATATTTTTTGTTAAATTTCAATTGGAGGTTAGTGAAAATTAAGGTGTTTTTTTTTCCCCTATCCGAGTTCACTGACCCCCTTAAATCTCTCCATAGAGCCTAGGTTAAAAACCCCCCTAATAGTCAAATCAGTAAGCATTTTATTAAATGCCTACTATGTGTCTGGCACTGTAGATATAAAGAAAGGCAAAAAACCAGCCACTGTTCTCAGGAGTTCACAGTCTAATGGGGAATAAAATATGCAAACAAACTATTTACAAGCAGGATATATACAGGATAAACTGGGTGGGGATTGGGAGGGAGAAATCTCAGAATAAGTACTTACAGTCTAATGGGGAATACAATATCCAGATAATTATGTCCAAACAGGATAAACAGGGGATAACCTCAGAAGGAGGGTGATTAAGACCTGGGAAAGACTTCTTGAAAAAAGTGTGCTTTTGGGGGCAGGTCGGTGGCGAAGTGGATAGAGCACTGGCCCTGAAGTCAGGAGGACCTGAGTTCAAATTTGGCTGCAGACCAAACACTTGACACTTACTAGCTGTATGACCCTGGGCAAGTCACTTAACCTCAATTGCCTTAAAAAAAAAAAAACGTGCTTTTAGCCAAGACTTGAAGGAAGCCAGGAGAGAGCTGTGGTTAGGAAAGGGTGTTAGGGTTTGTGGCAAATTCCTGGGATTCTGAGGGGAACAATAGGGCTGTCTATTAGCCCATCCTTTGTGGAAACTATGGTAGTATTTGATTCCAGTCCTCCTGGATAAAGGTACAACGGGTAAGGGGGGGTGTAGGGGTGGACTTGGGCTGTGTACCTTGACTGGTAATCCAGGCAGTGAAGGATGGTAACATGCAGTCTGCAAACAGATTACTAACCAGAATGTGCCTGGTCAAGTGAACAGTTCCCTAGTTCCCTGGCCTGGTTCCTATGGGGCAGATTCTGTAACCTCCAGGCCCATAGTAACATTCTTGGGGCTGGACAGAGGCAGACAGTACCTCTAGTTCTTTGGGCTGGGGCTGCCTTCCGAGTGTTCTGTGCCTCTCTGTGCTGCAGAAGAACCGCCTAAAAGAGTCCCCAGTGCAAAGTCATGCTAATAAAAATAAAAGAACTGCAAGGAGTCTGAGATCAGAGTCCAACTCCCATGTTTTATGGGAACTTGTAAACGTGGAAGCCCGGAGAGAAGTCAACTTGTCCATTGTTTCACAGCTAGGTAATGATAATAATTGTGATTTTAATATAAGCACTCTAAGTTTGCAGAGCTCTTCACATGTAGTCAAGGGTCACAGGTGAGATCTGAACCCAGATCTTTCCACTCTGCTATGAGACTGAAATGAGAATTGTTATGTAAAGCACTTTACAACCTTTAAGTGCTCTGTTATTTTTTCCCCATCCTACTTCACTGACCCTTTAAACCTATCTACAAACCCCAGGTTAAGAATCTAATAGTCGGGGGCAGCTAGGTGGCGCGGTGGATAGAGCACTGGCCCTGGATTCAGAAGGACCCGAGTTCAAATTTGGCGTCGGACTCACAACACTTACTAGCAGTGTGACCCTGGGCAAGTCACTTAACCCCCATTGCCCAACCAAAAACAAACAAACAAAAAGAATCTAATAGTCAAATCAACAATAGGTGCCTACTATGTGCCAGGCAGGGGCAGCTAGGTGGGGCGAAGTAGATAGAGCGTCTGTCCCGGAGTCAGGAAGAC